TTCTTCAGGCTATATTTTTTGAATGTCCAAATCCTAATACAAACGTTCAGCTAAAATAACCAACAAAAGGACCAAAAGTAAAGTGAAACCAGAACATTATTACAAAAAAAAAAATTGTTTTCCTGGGAAATGAACTCAGGAAAAATTAACAAAATTTGGAACGATGATATAATGACGGCGAAATATAACACTAATTCAGCTTAGTTGTCGTTTTAAAGAACCTAGTTAATATGACAGTTTGTGTGTAAATTACGAATGTGACCTACCAAATTAGACTATTTACCGGATTTGTAATAACATAAGCAACACGACGGGTGCCATATGTGGAGCAGGCACATGTGGAGCCGAATCTGCTTAACCTTCCGGAGCACCTGAGATCACCCCCAGTTTTTGGTGGGGTTCGTGTTGCTTAGTCTTTAGTTTTCTATGTTGTGTTATCTGTACTATTATTTGTCTATTTGTCTTTTTATTTTTGGCCATGGCATTGTCAGTTTGTTTTCGATCTATGAGTTTGACTGTCCCTCTGGTATCGTTCGTCCCTCTTTTACACAGAAACTTCCGCCGTTTGCATTTTACATTCACCACTGCAAACACTTCTTAAAACACACCAATACTTCAAAAACCTTCTATAGGTAATTATACGGTTCTGACTATCGTCGTACGGTGACATATTATTGCCTAAATTTGCGTCATTGGATGCTATACTACATCTCCTTGTATTTAAATCATTCATAGATATGACTGAGACCTTTTATTGTGTTTGTATAAATTTCACAATGCTGTTGCGAATGATAGCAACTTAAATCAATAAGAATAAACATAAATACATGCTTCTAAATTCAAATATGATTAAAATAGGAAGGACAAATATTTTATACCAGACTTAGGATGGATTGCAATAGTTTTATGTAAAACAAACTATTAATAGAAATCACAAGAAAAGAAAAAATTGTTTTTGTGGTAGAATAGAAAAATGTACGCATTTATTGATTCAGTATAATAATTATACTCATGCCTGACATCGCACAATATGAACTGTCCCGTGTCAATATAACATAGTCCTTGAAACACACGTACATTGTTGTACAAAACAATTCTGACAAAAATTATTGTTTAAACTTTTCCATTGACAAACAGACGGATTATTTTGTTTCCGAATCCCATTGTATAACACTGCACACGTATTTTGTATTTCATGTATCCAACACTGTTCTAAGATGAACAAGGTATCATGATGACAGTAAAGTAAAATTACATTCTTTAAATATAAGATAATTTTCATTAGAACTTACGATTATTTAAAAACGCAAACACTCTTCACAGATTTTCAATTGTACATGTCTTTTTGAAAATCAGGGAGATACATAACAAGAATAACAAGATATAGCAAATATATACAGAATGATAAATGGTGCGATGTATAATAATTTGGATGATAGAGCGATGTTTATTTGTTTTTGTTTTTATATTTGCCATTTGTTCCGATTAAAAAAAAAAGTTAATAAATGAGTTACTGTATTAATTTTGATTCACTTTTCACCTTTTCACTTTTCACCAATCAACTAATTTTGATCTTAAATGGTCATTTTAATCCTTTAAAGCTCGAAAAATACAGAAAAATAAATAATTTAAAAGTATTTTGCAGTCTTTCAGTACATTTATTAGACTTATTCACTGCGGAAAATTCAGAAATTGTCTGACGATTTGCTTGCAATCAATTAAGATCTATTCAGTCTGTGAAGCACTAGTATTTATATGTACACATCAGCAACATACTGAATTGCCTGAAAAGCTACCGAACAGAACTGAATTGACTGCAATCAAATTGTCTGAACAGAACTGATTTCACCGCAAAAGAAACGTATTGCAGTTTGAATAAAAGACTGAACAAGACATAACAATTTATTGTTTAGACTTTTCAGATGATGTTAAGATCAAAATGACCGTTTTTAACTGAAATGTGCCGGCAACCAATTCAAAACAGTTAAAACTTACCCAAAATTAAGAAAAAAAAACAAATAAAGCTAGGGTAAAGACATACGTTATTTCGTTAGGAATGTAAAGATTTGCGCAAAACCATTCTGGAATAATGTCAAGGATCGAGTTTCATATATTTAACTCCGATTATCCAATCTGTCCGATATTTGTAAAACATCCATCATTAGACCACATAATTTGAAGAAGTAGAATATTTGTTTATAAATACCATATTATCTTACCTCCTATACAATTTTAGGAATATGATTGGTTAAAAGCAACCGCGTGGAGACCGTGTATATTCCATATTAGGTTAGTAGGTGGGCGGGGCTTATTTCAATACACGGTTAGTAGTGGTGTTACGTCCCTTCATAAAAACAAAACGGTACTGAGAAAGAATCTTAAAGGTTTCAACAGACGATGAAAGATTGAAATAAATTCATAAAACACGTTTAAAGCTAACAAGTTTTTATTGTTGGTATTTTTTTGAATGATCAATGGAAGTATAGTTTCTTAGTGCTAACGGTATTGAAGACTTGCTCACTATGATAGGTCATTGGTCTAAGGCCACATGTTAAGATAATCGGTAAGATAAATTCGTTACATAGTGTACTAGAGACGTAATACGGTATATATGGGGTCAGTAAATTCCATATGGGGATTCGAGCTTCGCTCTCAGTCCATATGGAATTTACTGACCCCATATATACCGTATTAGGTCACTAGCACACTATGTAACTGATAATATTAAATCCGTTGGTTTGGAGGATGTGTTAAATACTAGACAGTCGGCATTTGAATTAAATCCGACTATGTTCCACTGCTCACTAGCATTTTCCTTGTTTGTGTGACACAGTGTTAAATTAGGGTTCCTTAAGAAGACAATAACAAGATATCAATATGCGTTGACTTCATCATCCATTGTGTGGAAGATTTCCTCTCACTGAAACATTCTACGTGACTATTTTAGCCGCACCTATTCTCTTTTACCTGATTAGATGAATCAGCAGATCCAGACAGGTCTGTTTTCTACCTTGAATAACTTAAAAACATTGCCAGAAAGAGTCCTATGAGAACAAACCTCAAAGACAAAAGAAATAATTTTGATTTCGTCTTTGTTTGTTATTTTTCATATTTGTTTAGCAGAAGTAGCATCATATAAACCATATATTCATAGGTCATACGATGTCTTTACATGCACCTTGCTATGGATTGAATTATCGAAAATGTGTGTCAAAGATGACAAAGGATATGTTCTGTTTGACATAAACCCAGTCCTGCTTTATTTTCCTCATTGATGACGAATATCCTGTAGATTTAAAATTCATCTTGTCATGATAACACAACATGTGTTACTATTGGCAATGAATCTGTGTACAGTTCTAGAGCTGCCCAGTGTTTCGTGGGTATCATATAGCTTTATATCTTAGTTTCTGTGCATTGGTTGCAGAAATGTGATATATGTTGTCTTTAATTCTTGGAACTGTATTGCATTTTCTGCTTCGACTAATTATAACGACTGCAACTCAGTATATTCTTAATTAAAAATAAGGAGTGTGATATGATTGCAAATGAAACATCTGTCCACCAAATGGCATGAATGTAAGCAACTATATGCCTCAGAGCGGAATTCAACATTAAGCAAACACTAATACCGTATACTAGTAGTCAGCTATAAAGACCCGTGTATGAAAAAATATGGGAAACCTAACGATGGCCTGTTTTATAACAACATAATTAACGAAAGAAGATTTTCACAGAAATGAACCAACGACAACACTTGATTACAGGCGTCTGACTAAAAAAAGGCACACACAGAATGTGGCGGGCTTATGCATGTTTCCCTGCACTCAATCCTCCCTTACCTGGGACAGTAGCAGTGTTGTAACAGCGCACATTGTAGAAATATGTTGAACATGATTTGAATTAACAGAAGAACAAAGCCAACTGGTAAGTAAATCATAAGCCACATAGAATCGATCTTAAGATACTAGCAGTTGCTGAAAATAAGTTAATATCAAATAACAACTAAAAAAAATAACACATCAATTAGTACACATCCATAAGTGTTAACACGTCATAAAAAGAGGGAAAAGTATGACCTTGTCCAATTCCAAAATATAAGTGAATAGTATCAACTGAATGTGTGCTCATAATTATTTACAATTAATTTATTAGCATATATTTTTAGTACTGTCAAATTTTTTATGAAATAATAAAATCAATGCGAGTATTGATAAAAGCCATAATTAAAGATTTCACTACAATGTTAAAATTGATATCATTTACGAATAAGTTTATTCAAAAGATAAATGAGTTTAGATGGATCGTATCTAAATTTACACCTCTGTTAACACCACAACCTAAAAACGAGGATGTTATAACCAGTTTTTTATTAAATTTATACAGTCATTCATTTTCAAAAATCAGTAAATTGGCAACAAAATGCTTCACTCAATACTATACCAAAAATATATGGATTGCGTAAATTTAAAAAAAGAAAAGAAAAACAGAATGGCTTATCGAACAAGTTGGAAAATACACGAACGATGAAAAAGGGTCAAGGGAACATCAACGTCCAAAAAAAGGGGAAAAATAACAATAAGGAACGATTTTCTATGTAAGGTTTTGTATAGCGTTTCCCATGTGAAATTGAAATACCCAAACCTCGAAAAGACAATAATAGCATACTGTGTGAATTTTATGTCTATTTAACGTACGTTCAATTCGGTGAATGTCCGCATTTATTAACATTGTTTCATGTTAAATGAAAACAATGTTTCTCGTCCTCTTATCATTCAATTTCATGAGTATATACACATGTATCCACACAATATGACTGTAATTCTATTTACATATGTGAAGTCAATAAATGTAGCAGGTAAACAATACCTTTGAAATCATGTAGATAAAACAAGTTGAAGTTGTTGATGTACCAAAATTGATCAATCTGATAAGAAAAAATAAAAGATTGATGGCAATCAATGTAAACTGTGTAAGTTGAAATTAAAAATTATAATTACCTGACATTGGCGCATACATTAAAAATATAGTGACTAAAATTATGAAGTTGTAACAAAGCTTTTTAGGTGTGTCCATTTTCATGGACACTTATTACAACACATTTCCAATTATTTTAGTAGTAATTCTTTTCTGTCCAGAGTATACTCCTGAATTAATGTCCAAAAACTATCATGATTGTAATATAGTCCACAACATGCACAATACAATATAATGAAATTGGATGACACTCGTTTTAAAAACTGTATTACATTTCAGTGAATAACAATGATTTAAAAAGAAAATCATTGAACTAAAGAGATAACAAATGCACACCTAATAATAATAAATTATGAATGCTTTTCACTATTTTGAGGTGTGACACAAAACTCACCAAAGATGCCAAGGTTATGATTTGGTATGACATAGTCCCAAGTCTGATGTTTTGTAACTTCAATCATTTAGTCATTCACTTCTCAGTCCAAACATATGCAGTTAGAATATTAACTGTATTTATTTAACTGCACCTGATGCGCTTTCCGACACTTAATGTCTCTCTAATGATTAGTCCGTGATATTTAAAAAATAGGAAAATATAACATCATGGATGAGCTGATAAAACCAAGAGGAACACAAAGTTAAAGTCAAACCTAAAAAAGGAATCAGAACTAAGCATAATTGATATAATTCCTTAATTATTATGATTTCCAAAACTCTAAACAGAAAATTATAATACAAACAATATCCGTATCTTTGCAAGAGCCGAAAAATTCTTAAACAGTTAAATTTTATTACCACTAGAGTATCTGTTAAAAAATCAATGATGTGCTCTAAGTCGGTGTATATTCCTAAGTATGCTTGATCCACCAGATGTGACAGGCGGTCTTAAAACTGATTACACTATTGTATAAATGGGGCATGTACAGATCTATCAGCTACCCAATTCAGACAATCAGAAAAGAAGATGATTGAAATCTGATTTTTGTTTATTAATGTGCATGTCCAAAGCCAATAACAGCAGTTTTGTTTTATTGAGTGGGTAAAAGTATTTTTAGTTTTTGATGACCATTTGAAAATTGTTCTGTTGATGATCGATCTATAAACATTTCTGATTTATCTTATCATACATTTTGATAGACTTGAAACAATTTAAAACCTGGTATATTACATATGTATATAGATATTGATCGACCGTTGGACCGTAAATCATAAACCTCTAAATAATAATACTAGACAAAAATAAAGATTCTGAATCCTTTTCGTCATTAGTTTATCCTTTCACAATATAATTTACTACCTTTTCTTTATGTATGTCTAAGAAACAAATTACGAAATTTTGTACATAACTACAAAAAAGGTTTACAACAATCATTATTTCGCTAGAAATAACACTGACAATAAAGAGACCAATGATGGCATGGTGCTACAATAGTTCAGCATAAATTTAAAAATAGAACAATATGCATTGATCTACTTTTACTTGCATTTATTAAATATATCCTTTAGATTAAAGCTTTTTTCTTGTCGGCATTAATTTTGTCTGAAGAAATATTGGTGACTCGAACTGGTTGACTTGGATAAAGAATTATGCTGACCTGGAATTTTCCCATCTGACAGTAAAATGTAAAAACTCATAAAAGATACCAGGGTTATAATGTGTTACGCCAGTTTTGTCTTCATATGAGTCATCAGTAACGCTCGAATCAAAACTTGGAAGGCTAAAATCTAAAACGAAGTTGAGGAGAATGTAAAACCCATGGTAAAGATTGGCATCCGTTTAGCTTTACGGAATTGATTCATACGTGAATCTATTTTCAAATGTAACATAATTCCAGACGTTTTCTTATTCATTCTTATGATGTTGCCCGTTCAAAACTGTTTTTTATTCAAAACTAGAAAGCAGAAGAATATAGCTCAACTTTGACAATTTTCTTCTATATCGTCTTATGAATGTTTATAACATATGATATAAAACAAAATTTAGCTTTATTTATATGGTATGTTCACATTGTTGAACAATTTTTAAATCCATACAAGGTCCAGCTTTACATTATTTTTAATAATACTCGTATAAAGTTGAATGAAAGACCATTTATTTATTGCAATACATTGTACATTGTAAACATTTATAAAACACACCAATGTCCTATATATTTACAATTAGTTGAACATTCACATTATGCATGTAACAATATATATAGAGGTATATCATAAGTGATCTGACATTCTATTCATCATTAAGGCACCTTCTTATCAAATATACGATTCAGTCATCATACAAGCCTGAAATAGTTTGTTGTGACATTGGCCATCAAGCCACAAACTTCATGGCTTTAAACAATGCAAAGTAAGTGTTATAATGTCATAACACTGAATTATCAGATTATTCATGGGTTGTAAATCTCATTACAAAGCTAACTTAGTGATAGTCCCAATGCTGAATTGCAATCTTCTGAAATCCAAATTGTTTGCCTGTATATAAAGTATAGCATGTGTCTGGTGTAGAGCCATATGTTTCTTCTGATTTTGTGTGTCTGAAGAGGAAAATTGTACATATTAAGACAACAGAAAGGACAAGACACGATAAGTATCAGAGAACAACCCAAATTTTCGTTCAAATTAAAAATGACGTGCCATACATTATAATACCACATTTTTAAAGTTTAAAACCTATATTTTTGTAAACATCAATAGATTTGTCAACTTTCGCTGATTTGATTCATGTGTTGTTGCAGTAAAGACCTCAAGATTTGCGAAAAGAGTAGAAAAATGGCAGTTTCTATACGTTTGTCTGCATTTAAAACTATGAGCATACCTACGGCCCACAATCGTATTCATACCTGACATTCCTTGAATATGAATGTTGATGCAGTTCAAATATTTAAGTGGGCCGTAGATCCGCTTATAGTTAAAAATGTAATAAAAAGGTGAAAAAAAATCGTCGTAGTTTTCATTGAATCAATGAAATATTCATACGAACTGCGGATCGGAGATGATTTCCGGTGGGCACATATTCACTTGATCCGACGACAAACTTTTCTTCGTGCTTTAATGGCTAGTTTTTTATAGCTCAATTTTCAAATCTATGAAAAAGGAACACAGGATTATCCGGTATTTATAATTTCATGAATTTAAAGTGAGATTATAATATTTTTATATTTCAACCTTTGAAAATAATACTATACATTTCATCACTTTTATTCTTAAGTTAGCTGTATGTTTATGTGCATTTAATTTGTAGTCTTCTTAAGAATTAAATACTTCTTTTTGTAATTGGGGTGTTTAAGCGATGACAGAAGCACATTTTTTATGAAGCACGGATGTTACAAAAGAAACATTCAGAGCATTATTAACATTGAATGCTAAAACCATAAAATTATGAAGTTTATCAAATATTTCGTTTGCTTTCCTATGCATTCTTGTAACATTGTAATGAATGTTGCATTTCTTTTAGAAATAACATCTTATCTTGGAATTTACTTGCGATTGTTGACATCCAATCAAAAGTATGGCTTCTTATGAGACATACATGTGATGTAATTATTGATAATAAAAAGTTGAGATAACCAAATTCTTATTTTTAAAATTTTAAAATTTGATAAAACGCTAAATGTGCAGTCCGTTTTCACAAGATTTTGTATAGTTTTAATTAATCTATTATATTTATTCAATTGTACAATAATTTAAATGAAGGGTGCAAATAGTAAGAATACTTATAATATAAATGCTTGCTTAAACATACGCATCCACCCTAAGAATTGACTTCTGCAATCATATACTCTTGTCAGTATTTGTATGTTGAATGTTAAATATCTTTAAAAAATATTCAGACCCACAACTAATTAGTAAATCCTTATATTCCTGTTTTCACGGAAAGACCTCCATATTGAATCATAGGTTTTGTACATTTGTAGTTGGCTTTAATTTTGGAAAAAAATGTTTGCTGTTGCTAAGTAACATGTGTGTTTCTATGATCGATATGTAATTCAAACATCATAATTAATAATCTAGATGTTTATATTATAATAATTACATTAGATGTATGTTTCATTGTAATACGTTATGTTGATTGGCTGACATCAATCTCGAGTCATTCTGAAATTGACATTCATTTCAAAATGAATTGTACCATTCATGATGACACGCGTTTCCACAATAAAGTACACAGGTAAATACAAGAAAAACTGTATTGTAATCGTGTTTTCATGATCATAGCGAAAAAATGTATTTATAAGTATTGAATGCTTCTTTTAGTAATTTCATAGGGTTGTAAAAGCGTTGACCGTGCGCACATTTTTAGAATGTACTTCGGCTAACGCTTTTACACCCCAATGAATTTACAAAAAGAAGCTTTCAATTCTTAAGTGTAACACCATATGAGAAAGTATATTCATTCTTAAAAAAATATTAAATTCATACTTTAGGTGATATAATGAACCCATTATTGAACGGTTGCTATGCACTTGGTATGTACCTTAGTTGTTAATAAGCATTAAGTGAACTAAAATTGAAATGGCTTCATTTCTAACTAAAAGTTGTTCATAAACAGACAATCTGCATTGCATTTAATCTAATTTGTACAAAAAATTGACTAATTGATTTGTTGTTGTCTTTAAATCAAATATTTTTTTGCTTTTGCTATGCTCAATACGGAGTTTGTTAAAAAGAATAATGATGATTAAGATAGTATATTGGAATGCAACACCATATGAAAAAGAAAAAATCTTCAAGCAACTGCCAAATTCATATTTCAGATGGGGGAAACACATTTCTGTTGCTAGGTTGTTTTATACATATAGTAAACGAAATCAAAGGGACTATACATTTGTGACTTCAAGTTCTTCTTACACAAACAATATTATTTGGAATTGTTCAAATTTGTACTGATAAAGCAATTAATATGTGATAATTTTGATAGTTTATAAAAACCGTTGCTTGGCAACCTTCCTATTCACCGGAACACAATAAAATCATTGTATTTTCAAGTTTCTATACTTAGACCATCAATGATATTACTATAAACTGAATTGGTGAGGGGGCCAACAACGCCCCTTATCGTACCCTGTCCTTTAACAATTGCTCAAATCTCATTAATCGATTTAGAAAGGGCAAAACAAGGTTACATACAAATACTGAGGAAATGCAATGTAGGAGTTTTTTAGCTGACAAAACTGACATTGAAAGAATACACGAAAACCTGTGTGTACAACATATGAATTTGATTGCTATATGGTACATGTATTGATACCGACCTTGAATCATTAATTTTTATTAAATGATAACGTTAACTTTATAAAATTGTAACAGTTTCAAAAATGTAGAATAGGTTTCAAACAAATAATGAATCAGATGTATACCGCATTATCGCTATACAGTATTATACTCATATATACCTGTACCAACAGACTTTATACAGATTGTGTTTCTGATTGGTATATTAAAGAGATGATCCCCTAAGGACCTTATAAAATAAAATGAAAAAGAGGCTTCTAATGTTACGGATGTCATTGCCATATCCTATTTTGAGTTTTGTTCAAACATACTAAATAATAGAATTACAAATAAACCGAGCTCAAAGGAAAATACAAAACGGAAAGTCATTTATCAAATGGCAAAATCAAAAGCTCAACCACATTAATCAAATGGAAAACAACGGTCATATATCTGACTAGGTACAGGCATGTCCTAATGTAAAAAATGGAAGATTAAACCTGTTTTTATAGCTCGCTAAGCCTCTCCCTTGTATGACAGTCGCATAAAATTCGTATATAAGCAGTGATATGGATTGAGCGAATAATATGTCGATGAACTCGTCACGTTTTCTTCACGTGCCTGCCAGCATGAGGGATTAAATTATCATTTAAACGTCCAAAACCTACTACTTCTGAAATTATCAGACCAATAACATGTTAATTAAAAACAAACACAACCCAATTTGAAATCGATCGACGTATAGATGTTCCATATGCATGTTTGGCATTCCAGCGTTTTATACATGCGGCAGTGATGAGTCTTATGTAGACGAAACTCGTGGCTGGCGTGTCAGATAATAATGATAAGCCTTATATCTTTGATGGGGGTTTCAGCTGACCAGTCTTTGGTTTTATTCCTAGATGCCGTCAAATTGAATCAAAACGGATAACAGATGAAACTCCTGCGTTATGCTAAACCTCTCATATTTGTCTCGACGTATTTTTTTAGTTGTATACTACCGTTTGCTGTAAACTGTAAAACAATGACAGATATATTGGGCGTAACTTTAACACCGCAAACTATTGGAAGCTTCAGGATGTGAATACAGATACAGTAAGTTGGGGTTTCGATATATGTGCAGTCGGGTTAGTGTCTAATTAACGTATACACTTTGAATCTCTTTTTCATACCATTTAATAAACTGCAACATCATTACTCGTCATGAAGTCCTTGCCATCAAAGCAAAGATTATATTATCACATAAAGATCAAGAAAAAATTTTGGCAGTATAGTAAAGTCAATACTTTACGATCATGCTGACAAATAGTCGTGATTAATATAGTGTTTTACATTATGTTACAACATAAGTCCAATACATCATGCATAGATCATCCTAGAGATAATATAAGCAGCTACCTACATATGATGATAAAGTACTAACAAGCAGTGAATGGTAACCGACATAACAAAGCCATGATAACCCCAGATATTTAAAATATTAGTTTTTTGGCTACTGTATGTATGCAATTCTTTCTTTTAGATATTTATTAAAAAATAAATACTCACGTGATCCGTTCTGTATTAATCATCGAACGTCCGTTGAGCAAACAGAAAACAATTATCACAAGTACAAAACCAATTAATGATATCCCTGCTAGTATAATAGGTCCACTATATCGCTTCAGGTTTTCTGTATCTGTGAAATTTAAATAAATTGTTTGCATGGAATGATTATACTATCCGTGTTCACTAGTACATTTGATATGCATCAATGCTAGTAAATGAATTGTTATCTTAAACGGTCATAGGAATCCTAAGATTATCTGAAATCTCTTAACTTAAAACCATAAGGTCTTCTGAGAGAAAGAATATTTTTCAGAATTTTTCTTGTTGTTAATTCAATTATTTGGCTTGCAGTCAATTCAGTAGCTTTTCATATAATTTACCATGTTGTTCTTTTGTACAAGTCAGTAGAAAACTACTGCCCTGTCTAAAAACAGACTGAACATTCCAAGAGCGAATTGTCGGAATTGTTCTGAACTTCCCGCATACGATAAATTTTAGAATTGACTGAAAGATTGAACATGGTTTTTTTAATTAACTGGACAGTTTAACCACTTCCAGATGGAACCACTTAAAGATAAATTTCCAGATCTTTCATTATTTGGGATATCATTCATGGATGAGAAACAGCACTTTTTATCATTTTTCTATAATCAGTAGCAAAGGGCTTGTTTAAAGATGGATATATATATATTTTTTTATTGCATTGTTACTTTAGTTTCCCTTTATTTCTAATAAATGAACTAATTTGTATGAACGTCCTGAATAATTTACTTTTTTTTCTGACAGTAGGGTGTTGTAGTCTGATGAATAATGCATTGATTTACATAATACGTTCTAATTTCGAGACATTATATTAAGGTGAAATGGCTGATGAATTTACCTGTTGATTTAGTTTCCAATGTCGTTTTGTCTTTCAAATCTGTAGTTGTTAATTTCATGTTGGTAGTGCTTTCAGTGTCTTTAGAAGTGGAATGTATTGTTGTTTGTGGTGTTGTTTCCAAATCAATAACAGTATAATGAACGGCAGATGTTTGTGTTGTCTCCTTTAATGTTATTTCTGTCGTAGTTTCCATTTGATTAGGGGTGGATGGTAGCTTTGTTTCGGGTCTTGTTGTCGTTGATATAATTTCTGTCGTAGTTTCTATTTCAGAAGAAGTAGACGTTGTTTGTAAAGTTATTTCGGATGTTGTTGTCGGTATTTGCATTTCTGACGTAGTGACAATTTCAGTAGAAGTGGATGGTATCGTTGTTTTCTGTGTTGTCTCTGTTGATGTTATGTCTGTCGTAATGTCAATTTCAGTAGAAGGGAAAGGCAGCGTGGTTTTCTGTGTTGTCTCTAATAATGTGTTTTTTGTAGTTGCTGCAAAAAATGTAATAAAACGTTTTTAACAAACGATGATCATGTTGTCAAAGATGTAGACAGGTGTAAACTTGGTGTTGATTGAGTCTGCATGCTGTATACTGTTGTGTTATTGGTTGTTTAAGTTTTTAAACAACAATCCCCTTGAATAAAACAAATAATTTAAACATTTCAAGAAAAACCTTATAACAATAAAACAAAAACAAGTATATGATATAAATGCATGACGCAACGCTGCAGATGTTCTTATTTTATTTAACAGTACCCATCACAATATAATTTATTCGTAAAGAAATCTTTATCAATTTGGGTTTAGAACCCTCTAAAATGGAGTAATTACTATCAATGAACAGAGATGAACAAATACAATCAAAGGAATATATATTAGAGAAAAAACGAATAGATTATCGTTAGAAGACAAAAAGGATGGTAAAACAGGGACATGAACTTAAACAATGAGGTTACCGACTGTTTGCTGAATTATTAAACAACCAAACGTGATACATAGGTCATCGATGGCGTCTCTGGTGTATTTGATGTATCAGCGTGAAACTTCCCAAAATTAATTTATTCCTTAATCTAAACATTAAATAAGAGTTAAAAGTAAATGGACCAGCACGAAACAACACAGTTATGATGAATAAATGAGAAAGTTTGTAGGTGTCTCCTGAGGTCAAAATTTTGTCTGCGTAATTCAGATGCTTTAATTAGTGAAACGAATGTTGAATTTCAAATATGTCTTAATTCCTAATGCTTATTGGAAAGCACCTGCATAATACTCTAAGAATTTTCTGAAACGCTACAATTTGAAAAATAGAAATATCTGAACTCACTGTATATCGAACAAGTACAATTACTACAACAACAAAAAACAACAAAAAACAAAGAAAACTACATTGAAATATTGAAAATTAAACGACAGTGACAAAATTATATATCTGAACATTAGATAACTTCAGAATACACGATCTGTTATTGAAGATTTAATTATGTGTGACTTTCATAGCACAATATATGTTGATAGTATTTCATTGCATTCAACGTCTACTTAAATGATTTATCATGTATAAACCTTTCAAAGATACGGAAGGCTCTATTTAGTTTTCAACACATGCATGTAGTGATAAATTTGTTGTTGGTTGTGTGCAAGTAGTTCTACGCGCATCTACAACTATAAACGTTTGAAGAGCACTGAAGTAAATCCTAAGTTGTCGATGGGATGCGTGTTACTGAATAAACTTAATACTAGTGTGTTTGTCTGTTTGCTTGCATTGTTTTGCTTGAAGAGTGGAATTAACTATTTTTGGAGTGTAAAAAATTCTTTGGATGTTTCTAGATAAATTACGTGCTTTTGATGGTCCTTTTGATTCTGTTGACAGTTTTGACTTTTCTACTCTTTACACTACACTTCCACACAATCTTATCAAACAAAAATTTGAATATTTAATTATATGGTCGTTTGGTAAATCTGAATGCAAATATATTTGCTGCAACTCATTTAAAGCCTTCTTCTCTAATGAGAAAGGTAAATAAACTAGATATACTTACTGGGAGTGTGATGAGATGATTGAAGCTGTTAATTTTCTCCTTGATAATATTTATGTACGTTTCGGCAGCAAAGTTTATTGACGGGTTATAGGTATTCCTATGGGAACTTATTGAGCCCCTTTAATAGCAGACTTGTTTTTGTACTGTTATGAATCACAGTTTATGACCAAAATCAGTGAAGACATGTCTAAATTGCATTTAATTGATAAATTCAACAACACTTACCGTTATCTTGATGATATTTTTTCGTTAAATAATCGAGAATTTTCTCAATATACTGCCGAAATTTACCCAAAGGAACTTATTTTAAATAAATCAAATTTAAACGGTAACAACCTTCCTTTCCTTGATTTAGATATTTCGGTTTCACACGGGAAACTCCACACTAAAATGTACGACAAAAGGGACGAGTTTTCGTTCCCTATTGTTAATTTTCCCTTTTTGGATGGTGATGTTCCTTTGGCACCATCTTACGGTGTTTATATTTCACAACTCGTTCGCTATGCCCGTGTCTGTTGTGACGTTTTTAATTTTAACGAATATAATCTAGATATTACTGGTAAATTATTAAGCCAGGGATTTCGTTACCACAAATTACTTAAAACCTTTACTAAATTCTTCCACAGATAAAAAGATTTGGTTTTGAAGTTTGTTTGTACCTTTAGAAAACTTATTTCAAACGGGATTGCACATCCTCATTTTTACGGCAATATTGTTTACCTTGCCCGGAAATTTATAAACGATCCTGGTAAACTTATCGATCCTTTAAATAAACTTATTCTAAAAGGTTACCAATTCAACACTGTAATTAGATCATTAAATATTGTTTTTATTGGTCCTAATATTGATTTTGTTATCAGTAAATTAAAAGCAAACTAGATATTATTGTTATATACATACACACTTTTATGGATCTACAATCTGTCGATACCTATATCTTGGCATTGCACAAGGCCATGTTTTTCTCTGACTGTTTATGACGTGTTTACACTAAATCCATTTGATGTTGGATGTGAACGGATTGATAATTTAGTCTTAGATGCATGATTTTTTTATTAGTTGTTAGTGGTTTTAAACTAGCTGTCAGTAACTGCGAGTACTCTCAGATCTGTACTTAGTGTCTTTTTGTTGCTTGTATGTACAAGTACCCGGCCATGTCCACTTGTATTTGTAGTATTTTTATTTTTTTCTGATGAGGTAAGCCTCTTTTAATTGATTTTTATAGTTCGTTCTTATGTTGTACTTTCACACCACTGTCCCAGGTTAGGGGGGGGGGGTCCCGCTAACATGTTTAACCCCGCCACATTCTGTATGTATGTGCCTGTCCCAAGTCAGGAGCCTGTAATTCAGTGGTTGTTATTTGTTTATGTGTTACATATTTGTTATTCATTCATTTTTTGTACATAAATTAGGCCGTTAGTTTTCTCGTTTGAATTGTTTTACATTGTCATTTCGGGGCTTTTTATAGCTGGCTGTGTGGTATGGACTTTGCTCATTGTTGAAGGCCGTACGGTGACCTATAGTTGTTGATTTCTGTGTCATTTGGTCTCTTGTGGAGAGTTGTCTGAATGGCAATCATACCACATCTTCTTTTTTATATTCAATAAATGCTCTACGTAAGAATATTTCATTGTAGGCTTGCTACATCTGGAAAGCATATAGCATGTATATTAAAATAAAATTTAAATGATTGGAAAACAATTGCAAACCTTCTTCACAAGCACTGTCACAGGGTTCACACAAAGAAACGTTGCTAGGTAAAGTGGCACTGCTACCTGAAACATTAACCTATACAGTTTGTAAATGAACAATAAGGAAATAAAAAGAATTTTAATAGACATTTATATGTGTGTAGTCAGTAAATATTTCCTTACTAATTATTCTAGCAATTTTATGTACATATTTCTTCTTTTAATTTGCTACATTTAATTTTCTGGCAAGCTGCTCTTTTTTTGTTATAAATGTTGGTTATATATGGTCACCGCTTTATAACATTACAAAGAGCTTTAAAATTGCAGCAACATGAGCTCAATTACGTTTTTGATAAACGAAAGTAGAACAACAACATTCAACAGATACAGATAAATGTATGTATAATCTCATCAGCAGACCGTTAAAAAATGAGCAAATGGAAGGAATTGTACATTTTAATATGACGTTCTTCAAACGCTTTGAGTACACACCCATGGTAAAATATGAATATGTTGATATGTCAGCTGATCGTCAACGTCATGGATTGTGTGGGCTGTTCCAATCTTACTTCCACGTAGTTTGCTTACTTTGAATGAGTTACCCGAGGTCAAACGGTGTAAATGACGTCATTGAATGATGACGTAAGAATACAAGCATACTACGGGAAAATGCATGAATTTAAAACTGGAAGTCGTCAAAACATGAAAACATAAACAAACGATGATACGAATTTGTTGAAAGCCCATTCTCTTATTCTAAAGGAAAATAATAAATCAACTTCGTCCCAACCTGTATTCGTATGCTATTGTAAATCATTTCAGAATGTTAGTTAATCAGTTCTTCGTATTTTACGTTACTATTAATAGTTTGTTCAACTACAAGAACAGCAAACGTCTCCCTTCACCTACAGCCTTTCGAAACAAAAAAACTGCTGTTTTTGTACTACTAAATTAGAAATAATTCGTGGGAGCTTGCATTTTGCCACGGGTTGGTCAATTTTACAAATATATTACCCCTCGCTGTCGCTCGTGGTAAAATATCTAGCATAAAGGGCCAACCCGTGATAATATCACAATCAATTCAAGCCCCCATGCATCATTTAAAAAAAAAAAATTATTATGCTTATTGAGCATATGTAACTGAAAATATGTATGATGACGATATATCCCCATCACTCATTCGAAAGAAAATGTCAATTTCAATATCATATACCATTTGTTCTGTTCAGATATGATATTTTTCAAACATGCAGAGAGAAGCTTTAATACAGTTAGAATAAATGTAATAACATATGTTTTTCTCTTTAAAATTGATGACAACCTTTGGAAATTCATACAATATCAACATTATGTAAAGTAATACGCCGAAAAAATAAACAGTGTCCGATGAATTCCATTGGATTGCAAACTCCTCTCTCCATTGTCATTGAAATGACACACAATACACTAATAGAACAAATTATAATTGAAGCAGCCAGGTGGATCTAAACACCTCATCAAATTCTTTACAGTAAGTAGTACGTCTCTCAGAGAAATTTCAGAATTATCCACTGCGATAAATTTGGTACTGTTACGACAATCCGGTACAGTCCTTGGATGGTGTAAACTTCCCACTAACACCATAGATATAAGAAGATGTGGTATGAGTGCCAATGAGACAACTCTCCATAACAAAGATATAATAAACATGTGAAAGCTCTCTCACAGGCAAACAACCCATAATTGAAAAATATAGCGTACGACTACAAAATTATTTATTATTTTAAAAAACGAATTTAAATTACAATATTGTAAATTAATGTATAAAATTAAAAACCATACACCATTACACCATTCACCATACAGCATTACACCATACACCCTGTGCCATTACACCATACAAGTTACACCTTTGCACCATACACTTTACACATTACACCATAATGCAATTTAATTTCAAAGAAAGGGTACAACTACAAATTTATTTATTTATTTTAAAAAACTAATTTTAATCACAATATTGTAAATCAATGTATAAAATTAAAAATACGTTCTTATATTTTGCATAGTTTTAAATGTCGTACACCATTCATTCACACCATTCCCGATCGCACGTTACTCCATTACACCATTCCCCTTACATCATACATCATAGCACCATACACCGTCTACCATTGCACCATATGCCATACACCATTACACCATACACGTTTTTTTGGGAAGTTTACACCATCCAAGGGCTGTAGCAGTTGTCAAAATCTGTTCATTCTGGATTCAAACTGTTCAGTACTTGTTATAAACATGATCAGAACAACAACTATATGAACTTTGTGAGCAATTACTTAGTAGTTTACATTACTAAATTGTCTAAAAGGAAAATATCTGAACAGTACTGGAGTTACAACAAGAACATATCTGTAAATAGCTGACACTCTTTACAATACTCAATATTTTAGTTTCATAAATGATGTTAAGATCAACATAGCCGTTTTAGATCAAATTTAGTTGTTCTAGTCTGTGTAACAAATTAATATCTTCTATTAACAATACTGCCATTTAGAACTTTAAAATAAACATATCACCGCGAAGAATAACAGGAATTACAAAATTAATTGGACTTTTCATAACACCACACCAACCATGAACTCCCGACATTTCACAAAATGTTCGTAGACAAACAAAACAATTGGATAAGCCAATTTGTGTGCGCCAAAAATACCTCATTTGCAAATATATCAGTTATAGATCATATGGCTGTCGCTTAAGAAAAATGCAATAAATAATAATATGGTTATAAGTCATCCTACCCAAATCGCAAGATAACATTCTAAGGTTCATCGAACCAAATATGGATCAAAATCTTAATTCTGCATATATTTCAAATAGTTCAAATATGAAACCATTTTTAATAATACTTAGTGTCACGTTGATGTCGAGTGCAAATACAGCTGATCGAAAATCTATACACAGGGCCAATACAAAAACATCCAGTTCATAACACTTTTATTAAATGATTTCAATTTTTCGATTGAAATAGGACAGTTATCATGAAGAAGATACAGAAATTCACATTTGAACTTGTCTTTTCGCTGTCACGATGCGTTTTTTTGTCAACATTGACGAAATTTCTGATTTCTAGTCAAAGTACCTTATCTATTCTAAATCAATAAATTTTATCTAAGAAATATAGAGTAGCTCGAAAGAAAAGATTAGAAATTTCAACAATTCTTATCTTTAATCGTCTGCATTCTTATTATTGATCAGCGGAAATGAAATCGTGATGACAATCAAAAGTTTTTTTTATCGTTTCAAATTGTTACAAAACACAGAACATCATTTAATTTATTTTATGTTATTATAAAATATGATAAAATGTATTTTATACACAATGATACGTCCAAAGTTAGGTAAGAAGTGAACGTCCCGTTTAAACCCAAGTGCTAATACAGCTTTTTAATTATTGGACCAGGCCGGAAATCAATATAAGTTCATGATTTAAATCAACAGGGCGACATCATCTATATTGCAAATGTTGATTTATCCGTAAAAAGGGCTGATTTGCTCATATAATTAAATAAAATCTTAACCATACGTGACAAACTAACGAATGGAAGCATACTCCAGGAACATAATGCTAGCTCCTTATACTATCAAAGTCCATAATAAAAACCTGTTCTTACAAGCCACATGTACAATTAGGATATATTTATATTACCTTGTCTTCTTAAGGTTCTAATTTTCAGTGATTCTGTGTATTGACAGAAGGTGCTACATATCGATGCATTATCAGCTGGAGCGTTATTCGCTTCTGACATGAACACTCTTTCGTTTGGAAATAAGGCAGTTTCAATATCTACATGTATAAGTAAAAAAAATGAAATATGTAGTACAAAATGTACACTTGAGCTTTCTTACAATCATGGTAACTCTCTCTCCCTATTATGTATAAGACCTAATCACGTAAATTGGACCAAAAAGGACCAAAAGTATAGTCAATTTCATCAAAGATCGTACTGCCTGAGGGAATTGGAACCTCAGTTTGTAAATAATTTATCAATTTATCAAGAGTGAATTAAAGAAAAGTTTGTTAAAAATCATGTCAGTAACGAAACACTTTTGAGTTTATGATACCCACGGGGAATAATATTTCAACAGCAGTGGTATTGACCCAGTGCTTGTAAATACAATTCATTTTTTACAAATGTAGTGCATCGGGAGAACTTTTCTGAATTGATCTCCATCAGGAACGCTAAAACCTTAAATTTTTAAAATAAACGATCTGTAATATCTAAACAAGCGAAGAGCTATATGACCAAAGAGACCTTCAACAATAGTAAAGTTCTTTGCTTCACGGAATTGGCACCTTGATTTAGAAATATTTTTTTGTATTTATCAACAGAGAATTTTGAAAGTTAAGGATATATAAAACATAAACACATGAAGAGCTATAGTATAAAGTTGATAATGTTTCGGTTCTTCCGTAATAGGATTAAATTGACTGTATTTTAACTTTCAATACAAAAACCATGAAATGAACAGTATCTTTTGCTCTGAGTTTTACATCATAATTCCATATTCCTTTAAAGTATGGTTGTTGTCTGATTAATTGACTTGTTTGCTAATCGTCCAGTGGCAACTATGACATGCATTTTCAAGACATATGTTTTACGATTTATACTCGCGTATTGTCTCTATTTACTCAATCGAATTTAAATATCACTAAGAAATTCATAACAGTATTATTCTATATTTCTCCCAAAAATTGACGAGTCTTTTGAAATGTACACAATGATAACATTATACCTTACACGCCGATAAACAAAAATAGCTGGTCGAAAATATTTAGAAAACAAAATCATAACCAAATCTTTATTAAACATGAAAATCAGTTGTTAAATAAGAAAAGTAAAATAGAAAGAAAAAAAAACCAACACGCGTGTCTCTCCTCACAATATTAATATAGCCCAAAGTTAGCAAGAAGTTCATAAAATTCTGTTCAAACATCGCTCTATATTATTTGTATCTTCAATATAGGGAAATGATTATTCAGTATCAAAAAGTATAATTCATTAGTAATAATCGATATGTACGTCATCGTATACTTATTATTTAACAAATGTTACTTCTGATGGGTTACCTAATTATGTGATAAGATTCATTTTTTAAGACATGAAATACATCTATTGAAAAACACCTGAATATAATTTACCTTGTATAACCTAGGGAGGTAAAAATAAGGGGCCCTGTGTTAACAATGTTCTATCGTCTAGGGATAAACGCTGGACTCCAATATAAAAAAAAATCAATGTTTAATACATAAATTACATTCTTATTCATTACACAGACAAAAACTGCGATCATACAGTATAGCATTCTAAATCAGATAAAATGCATTAAAAGACCCACTACAATCGTATACACTTTAGCTTTACTTCTGGTTGACATTTAAATGTGTACTTTTACAATTCATTACACAGACAAAAACTGCGATCATACAGTATAACATTCTAAATCAGATAAAATGCATTAAAAGACCCACTACAATCCACTACAATCGTATACACTTTAACTTTACTTTACTTCTGGTTGACATTTAAATGTGTACTTTTAATACCTGGTTTTCATTGTAATGTATCAGTCAGTGATTTGTGGCTAAGAACCTATAATCTTGAATGAGTTATAGAATCGGGAATCTGTTAGGTAGACAAATAATACAATAGGAGAAATTATAAACGAAAGATCATAATCTGTATAAGTATAAGTATTCCTGACCCGATCGATGAATATATTTCTTTAGCCAAGGATCGTTTTGGAAACACGTTGTTGGATAAGCGCCGGTACCCTATTTAATTTTTTTATATTTATATGTTATTAGTAATCATATTAAATAATTAAAAAAGTATGGGTATAGATCGTAAAATTGACTTTTTAAAAACATATTAAAACAACATGCAAGAATAAAACGCCGGCCATCTATGTATGTGTAACCCTTGGTATGTTGTGAATTTAAATTTATAGCATCCATTTGTGTGTAACTCTTGCTATATACAGTAACTGTCTACTGTGGATTCATTACTATTCATTTGATACCAATTTTCGTGCATTTCGTGGTTACAGGGGAACCACGAATTTAAATATTCAACGAATTACTAATTTTCTATAGGAAGATATGTAGACTTTTGCAAAACCACGAAATTAAATGTCCACGAAAATGTTAGTTTTCCTCAATCCACGAACATTGGTACCCACAAAAATAAATTAATCCACAGTATTTGACAATGAATTTGAGGATATGGGTAGATTTCAACACAAAGTAATTTTATTCATCACAAAAAGTAAAAAGTATTTCTGAATTTAAAGTATAAATCAAGAGGATCTAAATAGATCCCTTTTGGACACATTCATTATTTTGATTTTAAAGTCCCTTGATCACGACTCTCAGAACGGATGACGCTAGTTTTTTCTCCATTGGTCTGATGCTTGTTAGGTCGTACAGTGTGCCATTTTAGTAAAAAAAAATGGAACCCTCAATAAATGTATAAATGAAAAAAAAAAACTTATAAATGCTGAATTATTTCTGAGATAAGAGTTTCCCTCTATACATCACGCTTACTTACAGAAGGTAACTTAAATATTTATGATACAACAAAGACCTCATATATTTAAAAAAGGTAACACTTGTATTAATCTAATTTCATGTTGTTTTTTAACATGGACTAACATTGTTTCAGTACTTCAAAAAAACTTATTTATTAACCTATATTATTACTTGCCATGCTTTTTCTGTCGATATGTTTTAATTTGGCACACATGTGTGTATGTATGTATGAGTTTATATGTGTTTTTCACAAAAAACTTGTTTTCGTTTATTGTGTGCACTATTACAGATCATGAGATCTTTTCTTGATTTGTTCTTGCTTTCTTAATTATTTTTGAGGTTTTCTTTTATTGTTAAGTATGTTGAATTGATTCCACATACCTGATAAGAGATGAAAGTAATATAAATCAGGGTCAACTTTTGTTAATTTCATGCAAAGATACAGCCATACTTTGTGTCCACCTGGTACTCTTGTAAAGCTTTCGTCACCTCTGAAACATATAATCATAAACATATACATGTAAGAAATACGTCCAAAAGGGCATATGATTAAGATAAGACAACAATTATTCATATCTTATGAATATTCATAGCTTGATGCGGAGTTTTGCTATATTCATATCTTCTGGTGATAAAACAAAACAATCCTGTCCCATTGTTATTTATCAAACCATTAAACGAGTTCATGTTAAAGTGTCTATACGAAAAATGTATATCATCTTTGCTGGTCATTTCAAAAGATGCAATGAAATTGATAACTGACAAAAAGATAAAAACAGATAAAAAGAAATGAAACTTTTGAGTCTGCTGCAGCTTAGATTCAAAACTTTACTTTAATAACCATGTAAATAACATAAAAAAACTGGGGTTTCATTCTGTGTTTCTTATTTTAAATAAATAAAGATATAACTCAGCATACACATAATAAATGAATAGAAAGACACATCATTGCGACGTGACATGTTAATTTACATTTTTTTTCAAATTTCTTAAATAGCCTTTGATTTATATAAACAAAGCTATGCATAATGAAAATACAAAAAAAAATAATGATTTGCCATTTGAAGAGAAGGCGTGAGAATGTTTTAACAGCTAGTTATTTCAAAATGTCATACAGGCTAAACCGTTGATAGTTTTTTTCCTAATCAGGGTAATATGACCTTCTCTAATACCCCTGGACCAATATCAATCAAACTTGGGATTGCATACCGTATGGTATCTGATATAAGTTGTGATCTTGTTCATTGAACTTCACCCTTATAAGCGGTTGGTTGAAAAAGATGACACTTGGAAGATGAGTTTTTTAACAGCTTGGCCCTTCGATCTTGTGTGTGTTTAGACGAGTATGATATGGGCAACAAAGCCAAACATGTTTCAGGATCTAAATGATGGCTCCTTCGTTTCTGTATTGTTTAATTTTTTCCGTATTCTTTATGTTTTAGCACCCTCTTATTTTGTACTTTTATGTTTTTGTCTAAATTTTCTCTATTCCTTATTTTTTTGGCCAATTTTTCTGGAGTATTGATCCACTATCCTCTAATCTGTAAACCCCATCCAGACCTTTATGGTGATGCTCCTATTAAACTTGTGCTTTGTAGGCCGTTTGTTTAGGTTTTATTCGTTTTTGTCGTAGCAATATCATTTTGACTAGTTCGATAGCCGTCTGGTATCTTCCATCTCTCTTTTGTTTTACAAGTCTCAAAGACGAATGACTTGGCCTATGAAAAAGACATATACACTAGTACATATGTCTCTGAACTTTGATCATCATGATATTATTCATTATTCAATTCGTCAAAACAATTCACAGAACAAAACCTGTTAACTTGTTCAGAATATCACTTCATTTTAAACAGTAAAAACACTTATTATCGTTATTGTATAGTAATAACTTACTAAAGCATGATTACAAAATTATTCTATATATAACATTGAAAAAGTGTGCGAACATGTGTGTGCAAACAGACCCATGGTGCGAACGTGAAATATTTTATATGAATTTCTTAAGTTTCTTTTTGTCGTCTTACTTTTTTAAGTGTTACTTCTAACTAAGATAAGAACTCACATTGGATTTCTATTTTTTTTCTATTTTCTTGAAAACCATTACCGATACAAAAAATCCCATATCGTAAAAATGATCAGATTGCCAAGAATTAACCATTTTCAATTTCGACCGTAATTATCAGAACACTCGTATATAGTTATAGCCCTATAATTCCGATTTTTGACTTGTTTCCGTGTTTTTGCCTAATATTCTAAAACCTGTAATTGATAAGCAGAAACTAGTACTAAATTGATACAAGATCTCAAACTTCTTTATAATGAAATGTTCAAAAAAACTTTTATGAAAGATATTGCCAGTTTCGCTGGTTTGCATATTATCTCGAAAACTATGATAGATGCGCTAAATTTTTTGACAGCAAACATGATCAGCAATACAAGATCTACAAAAATTACAATAATGCGAACCATTAGATAATTCCTTATAGGAGTTATCCCCCTTAAATGACATTTTTTACATATTTTTGTGTTTCTTTCTTTCAATTTTGAATTTTGCTTGGAGTAAGGTATTTTTGTTATTCAACTTTTTTCTACTATCCCGAAAACTATAACTAATAGACAGAAACTGTTCAGAGCGAAATTATGAGGAACAAAGGCGCCAACATTTCTATAAGCAAAATCTTCAGACTATTTTTTCTAGAAGTTGTTGTCTTCAATCAGGATTTTTAATATTATGTATGGTTTTTACACATTATCTTGCAAACTGTTATAAATAGACAAAGAGTGTAAACAGCAAAAATGATCAGCAACAAGTAAATAACAATGTTATATGGCTGAAACCACCAACTGATCCCTCCTATGAGATCTTGCCCTTAAATGATTGTTTTTCCAATATTTCAATTTTTGCTTGTTGTCATGAAAAGTATACAAAAGAGAAACTGTAAACAGAAAAAGTGATCTGCGAAGATTTTCAAAATAATGAATCTAATGGTTTTCGTTCAAAATGAAGGTTGAATTGATATTAAAAAAAAGATACTGTGACCCCTTGATTGAACTTGAACATTCTCATAAAGATGTACATTTGAAAATAAGCAATATGCTTCTAATATCATTACATTAGTTTTAAGAAAAAATCATAAGTTAGTTTTTTCTTACTTGAAGACAACAACTGCAGTTGTGCCAGATATTTCTAAACTATTGATACAAGTCCAATTATTTACTGTAGTCCCGAGAGCATTCAAGTTGATGACGGAATTTGGTAGCGTTGTATTTGCAATGTTGAGATTGGTTGATTGTTCTGAATTGTGTGATACTACTGTGTAATTATATTCCCACACTGTGTTCTTCAAATCGTCAGGCAAATCACAGCTAGCATCTGTGAGTATAGAGTAAACATCTTATAAGGATATTTTACGATAGCAGACATAGTGATAGCTAAAACAGACCAGGAAGTATGTTGATCTGAAGTGCATCACAGTAGAGAGCGAATACAACAATTTGACAAAATGGCGTTTATCTCAAAATTTCATCTTTATTACTGAAGAATTTATTAAGTATCAAATTCATGTTCTTTCCTCACATTCCTGACTTTGTAAAGGCATTGTCCACAGAAAATGGTGTGTTAAACCAAGTTTTATACCTAGCTTAACCTCCCGCTTGTACGACGAATATGTTATAGATAATGCATATTTTAAGGTTTTTCTTGTCGTAAAACACACCGAAGGGTGTCAGGATTGATCAAATGAAAGATCGACCTACGACAAGAAAAACCTTAAAATATGCATTATCTGACTTATATACCGTAAAAAAAAATATTACTTTCTGCAGGAATTTGCAGAATTTGCATCCTATTTTACCGACCACACTAAGTTGGACATTCTTTTCTGATGTGGTCAGGTTTTAATACGCCCTTCGGCTCATTTATAATGTGAAATAAAACTCCCTAACTAATCTAGATATAAACTTTATAAATCATTATCCAGACACAATAAAAGTATTACAGTAACTGCATGAATCAAAACACAAATGAATTGTGACCACCCGATAACGGTGTATGAAAAATACAAGTCACTTTGTAAGTAATTTATTATACCAACTCAGTTTATGAAAGGGGGTGCTATGTTTTTTTTTTCTATTTGTAATGACATATTTATCGCGGAAAAGCAGATTCATTTTTCAACAATTTTTAACGAATGAATTATTCAGAATAAATTTTTTTTGAATGGCAATATATTTTTTTTTCAAACAGAGAGCCAGGATTTCATTCGTTACTCCCCCGACCCCATTGTGAGGTATGTAGCTGTTATGCTATAGAATATAAGAATATTTGATCAGTTGCTCATTTGATTGAGTAAAAGATATATATAGGTGTAGAAAGTTAAGAACTGACACGGAGAGAGCACGATCTCGTGATACATGTACATGTAACACGAAAACGAATACTGTGAATTCATTATTTTTCGTGGGAAACCAATTTTCGTGGATTTCGTTGATACAGGTGAACCACGAATGTAAATGTTCAACGAAGTACAAATCTGCTTTTGAGTTGTATGCAGAATTTGACAAAACCACAAAATCAAATATCCACGAAGATGGAGATTTCCGCAATCCACGAAATTGATTCCCACGAAAATAAATGAACCCACAGTATCCATACATGTTGGTCAAAGTATGATGTCCAATTCAGTGTGAATCTATAAGATTTTCCAAATCTCACACACGAGTGTGTTAAATCTGGCTTGTTTTGCATTTCTAAATTAATCTCACATATATGATAATGTCCATTTATTGAAGCGATAAATTAACAAAACTTCATATTATTTGTTTCGAAAGTTATAATGCACGTCAATGACGATTTTTTGTATTTCAGTCTAATATATGGAGGAAAGGAGTGTTTTCTGCCTTAAGCCTATCAAAGATGGAACATTAAAAAATAGATTCTCCAATTTACCACAACAAACTATTAAACGAATTAAATGTTTAAATAAATTAAAGGTTGCATTTTATGAAGGAAAATAATGACCTTACACAGGTCATTATTTTATGCCTTGAAACATATTTCATTGAAACTTGGTATCGTCCGGGTTGATTCTTCGAAAGAATGACCTATCGTTCTGAAAGAAATTAACTCCAAATAGGTACATTAATCCATATAATATTACATGATCAGTTATATTACAGTATTAGCATGAATCAATTCGAGAAAAGCTTTATACCCAAAGGTTCCTTCATTTCTTTCTTTACTGATGACAGATGTCATCTATCATTAGAGCTTGTATTTTCATGAACAACGTGACGGGTGTCCCAATTGGAACAGAAAGTTCATGCAGCACCAGGGCAGCTTGATGTTTCGTTGGTATCACATTGCTAAATACTTAGTATGTAGTGTTTTGTACATATTTTTTTCCATTTTATTCATGGAACTATATTGCCTTTCCTTTAACAAATGATTACGCCTGCCCCTCGATATATACTTTAAAAAATAATGAGATATGGTATGATTGTAAATGAGCCAGCTATCCACCAAATGACGAAGATGTAAGCAACTTTAATATATTATGTCAGAGTATAGCCTCCATTAACAAGCAAACACCCATACCGTAAGTCAACTATACAAAAAAAAAAGAGAAACAATTCCATCGGAAAAACTATCGGCTTAATTTAGAATAAAACAATTAGTGAAACAGATATAACAGACAGATACCAACAACAACACTCAACTACTGGCTCCGGACTAGGGTAGTCACATACAGAATGTTCCGGTGTTAGAAATGTTTCCGAGCACCAAATCCAACCTAAATCTCGGATAGTATTTTAACAGCATGTCATAAGAACAAACGAAAAACTCTATTTGGGAACATAATTATTACAAAAATGCAGAATAATACACATTTAGTTATGTCTAAATTATAAAGAAAAGTCAATGGGAGTACCGGTAACAACGACATAGATAATTTTTCTGCGATGTTAAACTACATTATCTTCAAAAATAAGTCTATGCAAATGATCAATGAGTTTAAATGGATCGTATATAAACTGACGGCCTTTGTAAACATCTTTACCGCACAATGGTAATTTAATATCTCGTTTGTTTGTAGAATTTAAAAAATACAAACAAATCTACAGCCACAATCAAACATTCAAAACAATTTTTTGAAATCTATGAAATAAGTTAGTGATTTTTTTAGTAATTTGTCAACAAAATATCTGATACCAGTTATAAGTACACAAGTATTCCCTATTCCAAACTAAAACAAAAATTGAAAAGAGTTGTTCCTGCTTTGTTTTATAAAAAAAAAATGGCAAACGTGGATACAAGTATCTTGTCTTAAGGAGGGATGAATCCTAATTTGTAAAAAATCACTCTGATTCAAACAACAAATTTTCTGAAACTGATATTATCAAGCTGTTTTTGATTTCTTGATTGACAACGTATTTGTTACGTTTGGAGGACGTGGTTTTCAACAAACAATTGGCATTCCCATGGGTTAAAACTGTGTCCGTCTTCTTGCCGACTTTATCCTTTATTCCTATGAGGATGACATTATACATGAACTTCTTAGGAAGAAAGAACAGTAGTTAGCAGTATCCTTTAACTTTACTTTCCGCTATATAGATGGTGTTCTCTAACTAAATAATTCAACATTTGGTGACTATGTTGAACACATCTATCCCATAGGAACTTGAGATAAAAGATACAACAGATACAGATAAGTTTACCTCATATCTTGACTTTCATCTAAAAATTGACAATGAGGGTCGGCTGAAAACAAAACTTTACGACAAAAGAGGTGATTTCAGCTTCCCAATTGTGAATTATCCATTTCTATGTAGCAAAATTCCAGCAGTGCCCGTATATGGAGTATATATCTCCAATTTGATACGATATTTCCTATCAAGATTTGAGGGTTGCTGCTTACAAGGAAGCTTTTAAACAAACAGTTCTAAGTGGTGAAGTTGAAATCATCCCTTCGTTAGATTTACGGACGCCATCACGAGTTGGTTGACCGTTATTAAAGATCCGTTTCACAGATGATAACGGATACGTTCTTATGTCGTCTCCTTTTTCCGAATGTGACCTACCGAATTAGACTTATTACTGGCTGTGTACTAACATAAGAAATTCGACGGGTGCCACATGTGGAGCAGGATCTGCTTTCCCATTTGGAGCACCTGTGATCATCCCCGGTTTTTTGAAGGGGTTCGTGTTGCTGAGTCTTCAGTTTTCTACGTTGTGTTTTGTGTGCTATTATTTATCTGTTTGTCTTTTTCTTTTTAAGCCATGGCGTTGTCAGTTTATTTTACGAATTATGAGTTTGAATGTCCCTCTTGTTCTTTCGCCTCTCTGATATACATTGAATACGTTTATTGAAATTGTGTTGATGTACCAATTACATTGTCCAAATGTTTGCAAAAATCGAGAGTAGATTGGTGACATTAAAAACTATATTTACCTGACATAGACGAATACATTAAACATATAAAAAATGAAAGCACGATGTTGTTATGAATCTTTTTAGGTGTGACCATTTTCCATTTGCACACTTAATAACACATGTTTTCTAAGAATTTAGTCGTATGTTTTCCTTTTAAAGCATTCTCATAAATTAACATCCGAAATACAACATATATTTGATGCAGCTGTCAACATGAACAATACAAATTTACGAAATTTGATAACACTCGTTAACAAAGAGGTTATTACAGATCGCTGATTTTAAAAAACGAACAAAAATACATTTAAAATAATAAGTATTTAAAAGGAAATCGTTGATCTATAGAAATACAAGTACATACCTATTATTACAGTTTACAATAGGTGTATGACTACTACTTGATCCGACTATAATGCAGAAAAAATTCGTGGGCGATCCCAAATTAATATAATTTGGGTGGCGTCACGTTAATCGTTCTTGAGTTATGTCCCTTTATAAATAAAAAAAATGCCACATTTGACGTTTCCGCACTCTAACTTTAGTTTACCTCAACAAAATGTTATGACACTTACACACAATGCTTATTTCCACTTCAACAATGAGCAAACACCATACCGCATAGCAAGGCATAAAAAGCCCCGATGTCAATATCTGAAAAAAGAGCTGCTTCAAATGCCATCATTACTGCTTAACCAAAATGTACATATAATACATATCACTACAAACCAGTAAGAGTCTGAAATGGCCAATATCTGTAATCGATATAACTCGACCCCAATCTTAACCATACTCGACTGCACTGATTTGTAGTTGACCCTTATCTTTGCCATTGAAAATAGTCTGAACTATTACTCGGCCAGTCTGAAACAGTCTTACCCCATTCTCGACCTGAACTCGACCAATACTTGACCAGTTCTTGACCTATTTTTTTCAGTCTAAACCATACTCGACCAAAGGTCTGAACATTACTCGACCAGTCTGAACCATACTCAACAAAAGGTCTAAACAATACTCGACCAGTTTAAACTATACTTGATCAAATAACCCTTACTTTTTTGAATTTTAATTGTTTAGATAACTTTCTTTTTTCACTGACATGACAACAGCTCCAATAAAGTAATGATATCTAAAACAGATTTTCACATTCTGGCATGATTATCAGATTTATCAAATCGAGATAGTTATATTATCTAATTTCTAGATTTGTTGAAAGTCGTACGGTGACCTATAATTTCTGTTTCATGTGATCTCTTGTGGAGAGTTGTCTTATTGACAATCATACCACACCATTTCGATGATTCTCAAGTAATGACCTGAAAAAAAAAATGACACATTTGTAAAAGGATTGAAGTGACACTTGGTATCCCCCCTCTCCCGGAGTATAAATGATAACAAGACATGTTTCACTTCTCGGACAAAATGTAGGCACATATCTTTTCAAAAGTTTCATTGTTTGTTTGTGCACACTTATATTTTTAATCTACGGTATATATACATGTAGGATCAAGTTAAAAGATTAAGATAATATTTATTGTGTTGGATTTCAACTGCAATAAAACAGGATTATCTCTCCTGATTTGCGAGTTCTGAATTTTGAGTTTTGAATTTTGAATTTTGAATTTTGAATTTTGAATTCTGAATTATGAATGAAACATTCAATAAAAAAGACTAAACAGTACCAACTCTAATTTAAACCAGAGATGATATCAAGGGCTGCAGGGTGGTAAGCATATCTACTCCACATTGGGCGCCCAACGGTGTTTTTCTCAGGCAGTATTGTCACAAAATATATAGATCTTCCAACGTTAGTCGTAAAACTGGTTCGAGAACCGATTTCTTTGGCATAATCGGCCTTCAAAGACTAATAATCTAACTGCAAGTAACAATTAAAACGACTTCGTATTTGATTATTTGATACCAAATCAATCAAAACTATGATAATCGCTATTTTAAGTTTAAACGTCGTATTCATGCTTATTTCTTACAATTTATCTACTAGTATTAATATTCATTTTGGGATGATATGCCTATCGGAAATTTCAGAGATCATGACGAGAATCGATCAGATTGCGTACAATCCTATATTATTGATAATATGTATAACGATTTCATGCATTGTTCATCGTTTTCTTCATTGGTTCCTAAGGAAAACATATTCATCTGATATTTTTTTGGATGTTATCAATCAGATTTAAAATTTTGAGTCGTTTCAGACACGAATTTGACTGAAATTTCCTCATTAACCAACAAAAAACTAAATATGAAAAAAAAAAAAATGAGTGATCAATTGGGAGATATTTACGTTTTGATGATGCACTATTGTTGCAAAGAAATCAAATATTCAGAATTGGAACGCTTAAATTTTCCCGTTTGTCTTAAAGATTTGTTCGTAACCAACCCTCATAATCAATTTTTAGATGTAAGTCAAGATATGGTGAAGACTTAACTGTATCTATGGTGTCTTTTATTGCAAGTTTGATTAGAAAGATACGTTAAATGTAGTCGTTGAAATTTTATTTAGCGACGGGACATCATCTATAAGCGAAATGTGAAGTAAAACGATAAATATAGCTCTGTTACTTATTCCCGAGAAGCTTCTGTATGACACATGTATGATGTGAATAAATTCAAAGGGAACAGGTCGGCAAGAAGAGGAGCACAGTCAGCTGTAAGATACGATAATGATATGTGAATCCAACAGCGCCACCGGAATCATGTTTCCTGAGAATAATCACTCGAGACTATGCGATGCTTAACACTTTGAAACATAAACGCTGACTTGGTATACATCCGCTATGTAACGTTTAGATGATAAATGTCGAATCTGAATCAACCTAAGTTTGAAGAAATATTCAATTTTAAATATAAATATAATTCAAGAGATCTGATGATAACGAATATGTTCCGATTGTCAGTACCGCAATCCCGTCCTCCTTTCCCCAAATGTGACCTACCGAATTAACTCGATTTACACTTATCACCAGATGTGTACTTGAGCAAAACGAAAAATGCAATATGTGGATCAGGATCTGCTAAGCCTGGTTTTTAAAGGGTTCGTGTTGCTAAGTCTGTTGTTTTCTATGCTGTGTATTGTATACTATTGTTTGTCTTCTGGTAATTGTTTGCCATTGGAATGTCCGTTTACTTTCGACTTGAGTTTAAATGTCCCTTTTGGTATCTTTCGATTCACATCTTTTTATACATTCTTATGATGTTGCTTATTCAAATCGAAGGTTAATATAAAAAGCAGAAGTATTATAATCTCAGATTAGAAAAAAGTATATTTTACATATTTTTTCACGAATAATGAATATAAAATGTGAAATGAAAGACTTATTTTTATCAATATGTTTAAACTTTATGACATTTTTAAATCACTAAAAGAATCAATATATTAATTTTATTACTACATATATAAAGTAGCACGAAAGATTACTAATTTATATAACAAATATACTAGTGCTGCTCTACTTAAATAAGTTTAACAAAAACAATGTACATCTTACATAATACATAGAAGTATAGTAATTGTGATTTGCCTTCTTTCAATCATTATAACACCTTTTTATTGTACATACAAAAACAGTCACTCTCAAACCTAAACTTGATAGTTGGCTCATTTGCAATCAAACCTCACCTTCTTCTATGCAATTTCAAGACATTAAATAATCAACGTACATTTGTAAGTGTTATAATACGATTTCACTGAATGTTTTCATTAAAACGTTTAAAGTAACTGGAAAATGCTAAATGAAGGTGTATTCAGGTCTTTTCGCGATTAAAATTTTCTCAATAATTTTATTAGTTGACTTGTTAATCGTAGAACAATAATCGTACCCAAAACTTTAATGACGGTAAGGCTAGACGTCTTATTCTTTCAATGGGTTGCTTTTTGAAAGGCTCCCATTTCTTTTTGTGATTTTATAGATAAGTTTGCACAATTCAAATAAGCAGTCTATTTAGATACAAATATAGCAAACAAAAAGTATCGGGCAGTTATCTAAAATCATTTTGAAAGGATCATCGGTTCACACATCCAATTTTTCCCAGTTTTGTTAGCCTCGGTTATTTTTAAGATCTTAAATTTATTAACATGACTTACTCAGTTTTTTCAGGTTATGTGGATAATTTCTCATCCTATATATGCGTATATATTTTCTAACAAAATTCATTTTTGTTATTCTTCCATTTTTTTCCTTGACATATTTTTCCAATACAAATTATTATTTAAAGAGCTATATTGTAGCACATCAAACAACAAAAAAATGGATCAGTTTTCATTATTATGCAATCACTTTGATATATTCAATACGAGAGTATGGATAATTTGTTTGACTCTTATTATTGTATTCTTCAATTCTGTATATTCTATTTCTCTGTTCTTGATTTTTTGTGCGTTTAACTGTTCATTTTATTTTAGCACTTCATTATCCTTTAGTGTTTGCCAGTGTTTTCAAGTCATTATCTCTCTGGGTCTCATATTTCTCTATTATGAAAACATATCCAGACCCTATGGTTCTACTATTGACATGTTTGAAAAAGATTTCAACATGAACATGTTGTTGTGAATATCTGTTTCGAATATTTCAAATTTAAAGAAACATGATTATACAAATCAATTAAAAAAGTATTATCATTTTCAGATTATTCGTATGGATAAATATCATTACAAAGCTTTCTTATTAATTATAAATCTTAATGAGTGTTCCAGTGCTGATTTGCAATCTTCTGAAATCCAAATTGCTTCCCTTTATATATATAGCATGTTTCCGGTGTCAAGCCATATGCTTCTTTTCCTTATTTGTTTCTGCAATGCAAATGTTAATGTAAATTAAGGCAACAGAAATTTCCTGCTCCATACGCGTCTTGTTCTTTATTGTTTCTGCAATAGAAAACTGTAAATTAAGACAACACAAATTTAACGATGTTCAAGTCTCGTGGATCGATTAGGAAGAGACGAAACAAGACAACCATGAGAACATACAAAAACATACAAAAGCTGAGGAAATCTCATGTATGTGTATTTAGTAAAAAAAACCGGAAAGTGAAGGAATATATCATAAAATATATCATATGTGAATTTACATACAACATATGAATTTGTGTGCTATGAGGTAACAATAATGATGTATACCGCCGTATAGTTTTACAGTTTTTATGTACCAATAGACTTTATGCATATCGTGTTTTAAATCGTTTAGTAGAGAGCTGATCCGATAGGTACCTTATACATTTATATGTAGAACAGGATTCAAATGTTATTGATTTCGTTTGCCTTATTCTATTTTGAGTTTTGTTTAAATATACAAAGTGAACATTGATACGGTAAGAGTGGATAATAGGTCAATGTACTTGTCGAATATCGCTTTTTTCTCGTTTCTGTCAGAGTGAGATCTTTAAATATCCTTCAAACGTTCAGAAGCAGCACCGACGTATAAATTTTTAATATGTTGTCCTTCATGTAGACATTTCAAGCTTTGAATACACATAAATCTGTCTTTGACCTTCCAGCTTTTGATTCGAGTGCCACTGATTAGTCTGATATAGATAAACTACGTTGCTGGAGTAACAAATTATAAACCCGATATCTTTTATGAGGTTTGAGGAAAACCAGACTTTCATTTTACTTCTTGGTGCAACGAAATTGACTGACAATAAGTTACCAAATTAAACTCCTTTGTTTGACACAAATGTTTGACCCAACCGCTACAATTTGTCCTGCATTATTTTGTAGCTGTCTCATTGACGTACATACTTTAAATCTCTTTTTCGTATCATTGAATTAGCTGCTACATTATAATCCGTCATAAAGTCATTGCCACCAAATCAAAGACTATATAATCAAACATAGATACTTAAAGAATCTTGACAGTAATGTAATGTCAACAGCTTATGATCTTGACGAGAAATTGATTAAAATGGTGTTTGACATTATGCTACAACAGTGACAACATTATCTTGCAGACAGTCTTAAGGCCATTACCTCAAGCATAGAAAATCATAATGATGATTTAAGCCGCGACTACACATGATGATAAATAACTAACAAGTAGCAAATGTTAACCTACATAACAAAGTCGATGAGAATCCCAGATAATCAAAATAATAGTTTTTGGCTACTGTTTGTAAGATATTATTTTTTTCAGGCATTAAAAAAAATACTCACGTGATTCGTTCTGTATTGATCATCAAACGTCCTTTCAGGAAAAGGAAAACAATAATTACAAATACCAAACCAAAACATGTTAATCAAGCTAGTTTAATAGGCCCACTTTATTATGTCAGGTTTTCTATATCTCTAAAATAAAAATAATAGAATTTCGTTTGCGTTGAAGGATAAAACTAACCGTTTTGATTTGCATTACAGTGCTCATTCACACTAGTAAATGAGTTGTAATTTCAAACGGTTATATTAATATAAACATTATCTGAAAGATCAAAACCTAAAGGAAAGTTGTTTTCAGATATTTTCTTGTTGTAATTCAATAATGTTCAGGCATTCAGCTTGCCGTCAATCCAGCAATGTTCGTTAGCTTTCCAGACAATTTACAATGTTGTTCTTTTGTACAAAGTCCGTAAAATAACGACTGAGCATTCTGAAGATAGACTGAACAAACTTAGAACGAATTGTCTGGATTATTCTGAACTTTCCGCATACGATAAATATTAAAAGTGATTGAAAGACTGGACAGGTCAACCACTTTCATTTCAAACCGCATAAAGATAGAATTTCCAGATATGTCCTTACTTGGATACATAGATGTGCAATACGAGAATTGGATCGCATTGGGCATGTTTACATATATATATAAATATATAAACATATTTTTTGAATGCATTGTTACTTAATCTTCACTATATGTCTAATAAGTGTACTACCTCGTATCAACTTAAAGAACAGTTTATTTTTATTTCCTGATAGTATTGCTTTATATCTGTGAATAAAACACCGGCTTTAATAATAATAACTTCTTACTTCTAGATATAATGATAAGTTAGAAGTGCTGATATTCAGCAATTTACCTGTTGATTGAGTTTCAAATGTCGTTTAGTCTTTCAATATTGTAGTTGTTACTTTCAAATCGGTAGTGATTTCCGTATCTTTAGAACTGTATGGAATTGTTGTTTGTAGTGTTATTTATTAATCGGTTCAAGTTGAACATGTTGAATGAACGGAGATTTTCTGTGTTGACTGGTGGTATTTCTGTAGTAGTTTCCATTTCTGTAGAAGTAGACGGTAGCGTTGTTTGGATGTTATTGTCGTTGATATAATTTCTGTTGTACTTTCCATTTCAAAAGAAGTAGAAGTTGTTTCTAACGTTTTTTTGTTGTTGTTTTTTTTCGGATGTTGACGTCGTGTTTGTCATTTCTGTTGTAGTGTTCATTTCAGTAGCAGTAGATAGTACCGTTATTTTTGTGCTGTTTCTGTTGATATCACGTCTGTCGTAATGTCAATTAGAGGAGAAGAGGATTATATTGATGTTTGCTGTGTGGTGTCTGTTAATAGCCCGTCTGTCGTAGTGTCAGTTTCGGTGGAAAAATATGTTATCGTTTTTTTCCGTAATGAATATATTGCTGTCATTTCTGTAGTTGCTTCAAAAAATATAAACAGGTTCCTAAAATAAACTTATCATAACATCAAAACTGTAGACGTATATGACCTGGGTGTTTATTGAATTTTTATGTGCATTATGTTTCATCATTGTTATTTAAAGGTTTTGAAAAACCCGTTTAAAGGGATATAAAAATTATCAATGGAAAGAAAATGTAAAGAAATCCGATCAAAACAAAGTATACTAGATAAAAAATAAATTGACAAGGGAAAAAAAAGCTAGAAAGAAAAAAAAGTAATCCATACAAAGCTACACAGAACGACACTAACCTCATTGAAAATCGGAAGTTAACACACGTAATCAAAACGAGTCAGCAACTCCTGCTCCACTAGACATGATAGATGCATTTGTTGTGTTACACATATTGAAATCCTTGATCAGATAAATATATACATAGTTTATGCAGGCATGTGTTAATATTAGCATTTAAATCTGCCTCATTCTTATTTTCTCATTCACAATTGTGAATGCATTAATAAAATTGATAAAACAAATACTTGACGACCTTATTTGGAGAGACATATATCCAATGTTGACAAATAATACTTGAAATGCATGTATATTAGTATGAATGATCAAGAGAAGCTCATTTTGAAACCTATTTTGATATAAAAAAAGAAATCATTACGCTTATTGATAAAGGTCGTGTAGGCTTTAGATATGTATTTTTTACTTGGGTTTTATTTTCAGATATGGTTCATATGCTTTTTATTGTCCACATATTTCTTTAAATAACTTCGAATTTCTTTATTTTGTCATGTGTTTTAAAAGATCACTATAACTGAATGTTTTAGAAATTTGTTTTTTTTCACAAAATAACAACATCTATGGTTTATTAAATACTTACTGTTTTCTATGAATCTTGTTTCAAAATCGTCTTATGTTATCCTTCAACACTTATGTGATGCATGACTACATAATTTATTTATTTTTTTTTCAATTTAAAGCACTTTACTACTGTAAAGAATGTATATGCTTTCTTTTACTGTAAGCGTATTTAGTAAAAGCAAGCATTATTGAGTCAAACTCTTTTGAATATAGTTGATAGTCATATAAAAGTCATAAATACTGATTAAACATGGTAAAAGCATTCCATCGACAAGTATTGATATATGTTGTGGCACAAGAGCAATATATTATACAACATTATAATGTTTTAAGCATAGTTACTTTTCTTAGAAAGTTCTGTTCCAATGAATGAAGCTTTAGCATCTTCATGATTTATATTACAAAAGTAATTATTATTCACAAATATACTGACTGAACACTATTTGCAAAAATAACCACATTAAACTTTTATAATATATTATATTATGGCTTGAGACAAAACATTCAAAACAGTAACTTTCATTACGTTTGCCGGAAAAAAATTGTCAACGAAACAAGGGATTACCAAAAAATATTGTGTCATACCTTCGAAACATGAACTATTACAGGGTTCACACAAAGAAGCTTCATTTGGTAAAGTATCATTGGTGCCTAACGTAAAAGAAAAACAACCACAAAACAATATAAATTGGAGTTAAGGTTAATAAAGGAGTCTTGAGTTTACGTAGTCTTGAAAGAGAGATAGAAGTTTATGCATAAACAATCGAATTTACGAAATATTGACATAACAGGTTAATCTTTCATGGTTTTGGTTCTTATACATCCTTGTCATTCAAATAGTTGGATTTTAGCGTTACTGATGAAGGTTAATCCAGCAAAACACTTCGGACGCATAAAATTTACAGCTACAGATGTTTAGATTTCATGTTTTACTAGTATGCAAAACTGACAGCCACATTTGTTTCCAGTTTATTAGATTGATGATCAAAACGGCTGTTCGTTTTTTCTTTGAAATTGATATTTGTTTTGTCATGCAAAGGCCTTGAAAGGCTTACTAAACGTTATTGATTTTTCACATTGTTGGAGGCGTTGGGAACTGTTCTGTCATCTGTAGTCATTTCGATTCATGTCCATTTGTCATATCTGATAAATATCTCATTTTTAGGTATTTATACAATTCTTATATATGATTTCTTAATATGGGTAATGTGTTTCTTCTTTCGGTTGTATCATTCTTTGTAACAGAACGAAGGAGAGAACAATAAGTAATATATTTCTTATTGAAGTTCCTGGTGACGTTTGATGAATTGTTTTATATATATATATATATATATATATGTATAAAAATACGGATAAAGCATTCGGCATATTCAAGGCAACGTTCAAAACGTCCATTTTAATGTAATTGGAGTAATTTTGCTGTATAATCACATATTATTAACTAAACAAAAGTATTAAAATGGTGGACAATACTTAAGACCACAACAACAAGCAACAACCGATCACTTGAAAACCAATTGTGATCTGAAGCAGTCATTTTGATCTGGACAGCTTTAAAAAGTCTGAAGTCTGAACAATAAATGTGCCAGTCATATAAAAAATACGAAGATTTGGTATGATTGCCACTGAGACAACTCTCCACAAGATAAAATAGAGAGTGGAAATCGGGAATTTGTCAAAGACACAAAAACCTGACCAAAGAGCAGAAAGCAGCACAAAGCCTTCAATGGGTTTTCAACACAGCGAGAAAATCCAGTACCCGGAGGCGAGCTTCAGCTTGCCTCTAAAAAAATGTGTTCTCGTTCGGTGAAAATGGACGTCACACTAAGCTCCGAAAAATATAAATGAACAAAAATAAAAATAAAAAAACATACAAAACTTACAAAGGCCAGAGGCTCCTGAATTGGGACAAGCGAGAAAATGCGACGGGGTTAAACATGTTTTGTAACTTTATCCCTCTGAATAAGTTTGTTTAAAGGTTTGGTTATCTTTTGAGGTTAATGACGAAATGTTTGTGCTTTGTATAGAATATTACCACAAAAGATTGGATGTGAAATACCTGAATGTATAAGATGTCTGCATGTTGATTTATATTTATGAATGATATCCCTGTACCATGTTTAGTAAATGTTTTGACTAGTTTGTGATCGAAAACCCTGTTTAATTTTTCAATAATACAGAGGTTTCTTTCGTTGAAATCAAATACGTTGTTGCATACACGAGCGAATCGAACACATTGAGATATATGAACACAATAAGATAGTGACATGGGAACGTCACCATCTCAAAATGTATAATTAACAATAAATATTGAAAAATCATCTTTTTATCGTAAATTTTGGTATTGAGCTCCCAGTTTAAGATATAGATATCAAGATCTAGGAAAAAGCAGAGACCAAAATGACACAGAAATTAACAACTATTGGTTACCGTACGCCCTTCAACAATGAGTAAAACCCATAACGAGGTAAGCTATAAAATGACAAATTAATGTAAAACTATTCAAACTAGAAAACTAACTGCCTGATTTATATACAAAATAATGAACGAAAAACAAATATGATACACAGCAACAAACGACAACCAATGAATTACAGGCTCATGACTTGGACATGCACATCACTAAAGTATGTTTAGTCTTTCAGTAAATATCAGACGTATCCCCAGCGGTAAATTCAGTACTGTTCGGACAAATCGCGTGCAGTCAATTAATATCTGCTCAGTCTTTGTTGAGACTGTACTGTAGCTGTTTCTACCTGTACACATCAACATCATACTGTATTGCATGAAAAGCTACTTAATAGTACCAAATTAACTGCTAGCAAATTGCCTGATCAGTACTGAATTAACCACATTTAGATAATTTACACCAAACATGACTGTAAACTTATTGATCAGAATTTTCAGATGATGATAAGGTCAAATTGACCGTTGAAGAATATAATTCATTTCCCAGTTTATTCCTTCGGGAAAATTAATGAACAAAAAAAAAAAATAGACGAAAAAACCCAAATGCTAAACTAGATAAAACGACCTGATTTAGCATTTACATTTTAAGCAATATGCTGGGTTGAATCAGTTTTGCGGGCATTCATTATACATGTATAACATATGGGCTCATAAATGTATATATGTGTAAAAACCATACCTCGTAAAAAATATATCACAAGATTATGTGCCTTTAACAAACCATTTCCAAATCGCACTATCACATTGTTCTGTAAACTCGAGGTCAGACCCTGATTCTGGATCTATGTAAAATACTTTCGTATCATAATACATAAATGTAGTAAATTTCAGTTTGATGGGACCACAATTGCATAGTAAACTATCTTAACCGAACAAATATGGACGGATGCATATTTCTGGACCATAGTGTCTTTCACTGGTAGACTAGGTTTGATCTCAAATGATCGTTCTAATCTAAACAGTTCTTAAATTACTTAACAGTATATTATTCAGTCATTTTTAGATTTTTAGTCTATTTCAAGACTTATTCCATGCTGTAAATTAAGTACTGTTCAGACACTTCAATTGCAGTCAATTAAGGTATGTTCAGTCTATGTTCAAACTGTTCAGAAGTTCTTTTTACCTGTTGAAAAAAACAACATACTTAATTGTCTGACAAATCACTGAATGGGACTTAATTGACTGCAAGCGAATTGTCCGAATAGAAGTCGATTAGCCTGCACATTGACAGAAAGATTGAAAATGACTGAAAAACAATTAGGTCAAACTTTTCAGATGATGTAAACACCAAACGACCGTTTATAACTAAAATCAATTTACTAGTGAATGCATCCAAGAAAAAAAAAAACCAGAGAAACAAACGAAAAAGAAACAATCTGTAAAAACTAGACAAAGATGACTTAAATTTACACACGTATAAACAATATGCGGGGTTGAGCCAGTTTTTTGTGCACAAATATTACATGTACTCTTTTGCATATACATGTATGAGACCACACGTCGTTAAAATATCTAACAAGAGCATGTGCCGATAACACATCATTTCTTGTTCTCACTATCACGTTTCATTGTTATTGTACTGAAAATTTTGGGTCAAACTCAGATTCTGCATTTTTGTAAAAGAGTTCCCATCAGAATAAATATCTGTAGTAAATGTCAAGTTGAGGTGACCAAATATTCATGGTAAGCTATCTTAACCATACGAGATAGACTAACGGATGGACGTCCATTCCGGGCACATTACGTCCTTGCTGTTATATGCGGGCACAGTTACTTTATCAATCAAGTAATATCAGGATATGTATATATTTTACCTTGTCTTCTTAATGTTCGAATTTTCGGTGATTCAGTATATTGACAGAAAGTACTACACACGGGATCATTATTATTGGGTGGGTTACCATCTACTGACGCGAACACTCGCTCGTTCGGAAATCCATCATTGAAAATATCTATGAAATGAAAAATGATAAATATAATATACACAGATACAAGCGAACATTCTTTAATTTGATAAGTCTGTAGAAGTGAAGATAAGAGAACATTTCAACTCTCTCTGTCTCTCTCATTGTATTGTTCTTACTAATAAGCAAAATTATTTATTCATTATTGTAAATAAAAATAACATCTTATTAATTTTGTGCGTCCGAAAACTTTCCCGGATTTTTCTTCACCTGAAATGCTTAAACCCAAACATTGGAAAGCCAAGGATGTATCAGAAGCAAACAATTGAAGTGATATCTAACCAACACAAAAGGGTATACAAATAGTAAAATTTATCTAAGATCTTCTTTGCCTAATAACCTTAGTGTCTAAATAATTTCTTGATTTAACAACGGAGAAAATCAGAAAAGTTTGTTAAAAATTATTATGTCAGTAACGAAACACTGACTACTGAAATAATACATTTTCGGACCTAACAGTTCACTAACAGTGGTATCGACAATTGCTAGTGAATAAACATGACGCTATAGTAATTTCGTGCGTCCAAAGAGCTTTTCCCGATTTACATTCATATCGTGTACATCATGTTGTACATGTTAATCAAATTCATATCATTATAAATCTATTTTTTTTAACATATGACGAGCCATTTGAAATTTATACAATCATAACATTATACGTTTCACGTCTACACACGTAAAATATGCCAACAGAAGAAAATGCATGGTTCGTATGAAGGTTTGTTAGCAAGTAAGTAAATTTAGTGAAGCTGTATTTCAATAAATTGACTTACTAACCTAATACTCACCATGCATTTTTTCTGTTAATATATTTTAATTAGGCACATGTGTATATATGTATGAGTATATATGTGTTTGTAACTAAATACGTGTTGTCGTAGATTGTGTGCACCATTAATAGATTTATTAGAGATAACAGAGCATCTTAGCTTTGTTCCCTTTCTAATCGGATGGGCTTTTGTTTCACTTAATTATGTGTAAGGTTGCCTTACACTGTTCTTTATTTGGGAGTGCAATCACATACCTGACAAAAAGTGAAAGTAATATAAATCTGCGGTAACTTTTGTTAATTTCATACAAAGATAAAGCCATCGGCTTCCTGAAAAAGGTCCACTGGTAAAGCTTGTGTCACTTCTGAAACATATAATAATGAAAACTGAACATGTAAGACATTTCATTCAAAACGGAATTGAATAAAAATATTTAGTTAGAAAAACTTATGAAAATAAGGAAATGTCGTATGATTGCCAATGACTAATCTATAACAAAACAATTTACTGAAAACCAATGTGACAGACACGAACCAACGACAACCACTGAACTACAGGCTCCTGACTTGGGACAGGCACATAAAGAAGGTGACGGGGTTAAACATGTTTGTGAGCGCCCAAGCCTCCCCTAACCTGGGACAGTGGTGTAGCAGCACAAAATAAGAACAAACTTTAAAAATCAACTGAAAAAAGGCATAATTCATCAGATCGATTCAAAGCAGAATATCATCAAACAAAAACACAGATCGGACGCGGCAGAGTATTTATCATCCGCCATTCCTTACAACAAAAAGACACTTAAAACAGATCTATGAGTACTCGCAGTTACTGACAGCTAATTCAAAGCCTATAACAACTAATAAAACATCATGTATCTAATACTAGAATATCAATCAGTACACATCCAACATCCAATGGATTTAGGATAAAGACGTCATTAACAGTCAGAGAAAACATAACCTTGTGCAATGCCAAAATATAGATATCGACAGCTTGTTGTATCGTAAAAGTACATATGTATATAACAATAATATTTAGCATGGTTTTAATTTACTGAAAACAAAATCAATATTTTTACCAATAAAAAAGAATATTCAAAGATTAAATTACAGTGTTGAAATGGTAACAATTTAGAATTATTTAAAGGATTGGCAAGTTTAAATATTACATATTTTACAAACACTTATAGTCCGATGCGTAGTCTGACCAATCAAGATTATGTAATATAGATACAATCAATAAGCGTTGATTCTTGAATCAACGCTTATCCATTGTATCTATAACTTAAACTATTGTGTTGATGTCTTTTCAAAATTAAAGCCTTTTCTTAATTAGAAGGTATTGTAAGCGAGTTTAAATAACCATGGTATCATGTTCAACGATGCATTACTAAATATAAGATCACAACTAATTGGTAAGAAAATTACAAATATAACATAACACGTCTGTCTTAAAATTATCAGGCATCTGAATATTATCTGTGTTTACAAAATGAGACATATTCGAACTTATTTCTAATAAAGTTGAGAATGGAAATGGGGAATGTGTCAAAGAGACAACAACCTGACCAAAGAGCACATATAAAGTATATATAATAAGTATGTTACCGACTTTTCTAGCAAGAAGCCTAATTCTAGGCACATCACGATTTACTCGCATAGGAATTTGCGAATAAACATTTGTAACATTCTGTAGTAAAACAGATAAAATCTTACTATATTTATAAAACAAAAATGGACAAATTGAATGTAATCATTTTTGAATCAAATATGTGAAATAGCCAATAATAATCCCAAAATAAACGGTTAAACTCACTATTATTACAAAAATATCCACAATTACATACACAATAAGAAAAAACAGAAAAACCAAAGAATAGGGACAACAAAGAGAATACAGGGATTCGAATCTAAACCGACAAGTCCCTACCTTTAACTTGACTCTTTAACTCATTGATCTTAACCATGCTAACCTCGCGGCTACGAACTTATACTATACGATTGCCTATTATGTATATATAAAGGTACAAGCCCTGTGTGTCCGTTGTACCGATGTATATCATATGTTCAGTTCATTTATATATATATATATATATAAAATAGACATTTAAACTTTAACTAATTGGTAACCGAGAGGTTTCGTCGATATGTTGATGTCAGTCACACATAACAGATTTCAAAGACGGGTTCGATCCCCAGTGAAGGCATATGAAAATTACAAAAATTAAAGGTAAGTTTTTAAATCAATTCCATTAGTAAACAGAAATCAGTAAATTAGCTATTCAAACTTAATGAAATTAGGCACACAAAGGAAACAATTGAATATAATTTGATGAATCCATTTCAGCGACAGATTTAGTAAGCGTTGATTCTAGAAAAGAATCCACGGTAAATAAATAGGCTGACGTCACGGCAATGGTTTAAATTCACATCTTTATTGAAAGATACAAATCAATCCTGTTCCACTCTTATTAATCAAATCTTAATAGGAGTTCACTTAAAAGTGTTTTGAAGAAAAATGTTAATCAGCTCAGATGGTCATTTCAACATATTCAATGCAATTGATAATTGACAAAAAAAGGTTAAAAAAAAAACTAAAAGGGAAATTTGTGAATGTTGCTGGTAGGCTTCAATACTTATGCTTTTCAATTGTTTTACTGTAAAAAGTATGTAAATCAACTTTTAAAAAAGCATGCGGTTTTTCTTTACATCTTTTTAGTAAAAGTCAAACATAAAACTTAATATATATTAATAATGAATAAATAGAAAGACGAATCCTTCCGAAGTGACATGGTTACTATGTTTTTTTTTAATTTCAAATATAGCCTTTGGTTTAATAAACAAAGCCTGTTTTATGAAAAATAGAAAAATAAAATAATACTTTTTAAGAGGACGAGTATGTCCTAACGGCAAATCACTACTACTAACAGTGATTTCATGCAAGACATTTGTATTTGTCCCTTTTCAGCTAATCTGGGACCAGTGTCACGAAGCAATCTTAGTGCTTAAGATAATCTTCTATCTTCTTAATTTCCCTAACCTTTCACCCAGAAGTGGTCTTAGAATGATTGACAATCCTTGGAATTCCAGTTGCACACCGCGAAACCCTTAAGGGTACTGTTATTATTAAATGAGCGCTTTCTTAGCTTTCATCTACTCGACTGAGTATCTGAGTATACTAGTCTTAGTGAATTAACAAATCTTTAATACTCAATATTTACGATAAAGTCTAAAAGTAGTCATGGGCACCCTATGTGTTCTTTAAGTTAAGGAATTGACACTTACTTTCTTCTCTAAAAGTCTAAAATTCATTTTGATGTCATGTTCGAGTTGATATTCGAATTACACATTTCACAATTTTTTTGTCAAGTTAAAGTTCTGGCACCCTCTATGTTGAGTAAGAGCATGGACACAGGATCAATTTTGAGTTTGCCCTGATACTTTTAAATGATACTCACTTTTTGCGAATCGTTGTTTTATTAGCAAACATAGCACATCTTTTATATGCTAGGGGTTTACTTCGAAAAGATATTTGCCATATTCAAAGCAAAATTGCAGTCAGTTCATTTAATTTCACATAATTATATTTTAATGAATATCATTTTGTTCTCTCAATCAACAATCCAAAATTATCAAAATTAAACAAACAAAAGTTTGTAAAGCAGCTTCCCTGTCTCATAAGGCACTTCAGTAAATGAACATGTGACAAACTAGTATAACAAATCATGAATTTTCTTTCCACAAGCACTACCTCTATTAACTACTGTTTATGGAGTATATATTCCTCAGCTGATACGATATGCAAATCAGATCGTGTATTGTTATGCTAAAAAATTGTGCTTCGCTATCGTTAGATTTATTAACAGTGTATGAGTCAATGATTTTTCCAAATAGAATTGTAATAAAATAGAATCCTCGGATGGCACTAGCTTAGGATGAAAAAGAAATTAGTTTTACTTTTGCAATAATATAAAAAAAAGATTAGCTTTTTTTTTCTTTTTAAATTCTAAGTGTTACTCTAATGCTCTAATGTTCCTTCATGAAGTGAAACGACATTTCCTTGTCTATTTGATCGACGATTGATGTTTTTTTGTTGTTGTTACATTCCTTCAAATTGAAGATTATTCAATGCTGGCTAAAATATGATCATTTGTTCTTAATTCCCTTATAATATTTAAACGTAAGGTGATATTTATGATTTTCATGAAATCTTCTTTTTTTCAGAATTCGTTGAATCCAATCTGTCGAAGTATCGAATAACACATTCATGTACGTATATCAACATTATATAAATTTCTGTAAAAACCGTCAATTAGTAGTTATGTATGTAATTCAGTTGAAAGTTTTGATAAAAAGAATATTTTTCACACTAAATTTTTATATCTAGCATGTCTAGAAATTCAATCCTACGCTTTTTTCAGATTTTTTTTTACCGCTGAGAATATTTCAACGACTCAATATCAGAGTAAGATAATGCATGTGAGTGATTGCCAATTTAACAACTCTCCACTAGAGACCAAAATGACAAGGAAATGAACAACCATAGGTCATCGTACGGCCTTCGACAATGAGCAAAACCCATACTGCATATTCAGCTGTACAAGGCCCCGAAATAATAAATGTAAAACAACTCAAACGGGAAAACTAATTGCCTGATTTATATGTTAAACAAGGAACAAAAACAAATATGATATTCGGCTACAAATAACAACCACTGAATTACAGGCTACTGACTTTGGACAGGCATATACAGAATGCGGCGTGTTAAACATGTTTGCTGGCACGCTAAATCCTAAAGAACTTCTCGAAATAAAATAAAAAAAGTTTATGACATGATGTAAGTAAACCACCAAAGATGACTTTGAACTGTTCATAACATTTAACAGGGTTTAACTACAACACCATACATGGAAAATCAAAGACTAAACAACACGAACACCATAAACTAGAGGCTATAAAGAGACTGTGTCGGTGGCCTGCATTTTCAACAATTAACACGCTTTGAAAAAAAAAAATCATCATTAAAGGAGAGTAACGTTATAAAGAGTTAACTGACAATTTCAATTATGTTGACATATTTGTAGATCTGATCTTGCTGATAATTTTCCCACTTTTAAGTATCTATTCATCTATTTTAATTTTCAAGATACTAGGCAAAAGATGCAAACGAATGTTTTTGTTAAAGGACAATAATTCTAATAAGGAGTCGTCTGACGATTTTTGTCGTGATGACATGTTTATAGATCTTGTCTTGTCTAATTTTTGCAGTTAAAAGTTTCTGTCTATCAATTATAATTTTCGAGATGATAGGCAAACATTTTTGAAAATAGTAAAATTTGTCATTTAAGCGCAATAACTCATATACGAAGTCGTCTGCCAGTTTTGACGTAAATGAACAACAAGTAGTGATCAACATTCATTGTTACCTCGTCAGATTTTCTCTAATCATAGCGGGTTTCGAAATAATAAATTTCCTACTATGTATTGATTACTTAAACTACACAAAAAACCAGTAAAACATCGTTTCATCTCGGCCTCTGGTGAGTGATCTACGACTTATCTTTCAGTGCTTTTAACTAGTTACTTAACTACTATCAAAGAACTTATCATTCACTTTTGTAATAAGATATATGAAAATAGTGGAATTAACTATTTTTGGAGTGTAAAAAATTCTTTGGATGTTTTAGATACATTACGTGCTTTTGATGATCCTTTTGATTCTATTGATTGTTTTGACTTTTCAACTCTTTACACTACACTTTCACACAATCTTATCAAACAAAAGTTTTCCTATTAAATTAAATGGTCGTTTGGTAAATCTGAATATCTACAATATGTCGATACCTGTATCTTAGCATTGCACAAGGTGATGTTTTTCTCTGACTGTATGACGCCTTTACACTAAATCCATTGGATGTTGGATGTGTACTGATTGATAATTTAGTCTTAGATGCATGTTTTTTATTAGTTATTTTGGCTTAACTGCAAGTACTCTCAGATCTGTACCGTACCTGTTCCGAGTCAGGCGCCTGTAATTCAGTGGTTGTCGTTTGTTGCTGTGTTACATATTTGTTTTTCGTTCATTATTTTGTACATAAATTAGGCCGTTAGTTTCCTCCTTTGAATTGTTTTACATTTGTAATTTCGGGGCTTTTTATAGATGACTATGCGGTATGGGCTTTGCTCCTTGTTGAAGGCTGTACGGTGACCTATAGTTTGTGATTTCTAAGTCATTTGGTATCTTGTAGAGAGTTGTCTCAATGGCAATCATACCACATCTTCTGTTTCATAGATACCCTTATAATGATTGTAGCCACATTTGGTTAAGGAAGGGATAAATGTGTATCTTAATCCTTGGAGTATTTCACAAAACATGTTTTCAATCTTTTTTTCTAACACCCACATGACTTACGATATCGGTTTTTTTCTGCGAAAGTAGTCGACAAGAATGTTACCTGAGACCCAGTCGAAAGTTAATTCTAAGAGTGACGTTCTCGTTAACCGTTTGCACATTTTCTCTTAAATGAAAATTGAAATATGTTTTCATGATACAATACAGAGGCCTATTTCTCTGATACAACTGAACCAATGTTTTTTTTTTGGATTACCTTCCGAATAGTATCTAGTATAAGTTTGTGTTTTTTGTTAATGTAAATCAACCACTATGGCCGCTCGGTTGAAAATGGAAAATATGCGCAAAAATACTCAGATTTGCAAGATCTAACTATTTCCAATTAACACCAAAATTATAAAAAAAACCCTTATATATGTTATATTAGTTACAGGTCTAACATCAACTATCCGATTGTTTACCTTTTTCGTGTTTTTGCCTAATATATCGAAACATTTAATTCATATGTAAGTACTGTTTACAAAAAAATTGATACAAGATCTAAAAAATTGTCTTAAAACGAAATTTTCAGACGAACTCATATGAAAGATATTGCCAATAAATTGACATTGTTTCGTGGTTTTGACTGTTATCTCGAAAACTATACCAGATATGCAGAAATTGTTAACAGCAAAATTAATCAGCAATACAAGATCTATTAATGACCATAATACGAAACATCAGACGACCGCTATAGGCGTTATACTCCTTTCAGGACATTATTTGACATATACTGGTTCCGCCTTCCTTCTCGAAATATTTAATAGATAGGCACTGCGAAAATGATCTGAAGAAAAAGATCTAAGAAATGCTATGACCGAAACCTTAAGATGATTTCTTATTTCCAAACGGAGATTTTTAATACAACTTAGGGTTTTCGCATATTTTAAAGAGATAGGAACAGAAAACAGCAAAAAGGACCAGCAACACCTGGTTAAAAAAATGTAAATGACAGAAAACATCAACTGATGCCTTCTTACAGATATTGATTTTAAATGACTATTTCTTCCAACTTTTTCTTGTTTCTTCATTGTCTTGAAAAATATAATTGATAGAGCATGCAGAGTAAAACAGCAAAAGTTATCAGCAATACAAGGTGTTCACAAATGATGATCCTGATTTTCTTTGCATAACTTAAAAATGATCCTGTTACTGGGAAAACAAATAATGTGTTCCCCTTTATTCTAATATACAGCAAGCTGTATATTTCAAAATAAGCCATTTGCTTTTAAAATCATTGTTTTTATATTTAAAATCAATCTTTATATATTTCTCACTTACTTGAAAACAACAACTGACGTTGAATTAGATATATGTAAACTATTGATACAAGTCCAATCGTCTATTGAAGTCCCAAAAACATTTAAACTGATAACAGAATTACTCAGCGATTTATTTGCGATGTTGAGATTGGTTGATTGTTCTGAATTGCTTGCAACTTTAGTGTAAGTATATTCCCAAACCGTATTTCTAAGATCTTCAGGCAAAGAACAGTTGGCATCTGAAAGAATATTTGTAAAGAACAGATGTAATGCAAAATAGTGACGTTGTACGATAGTAGAACTAATGATTGCTAACGCAGACCTAAAAGGATGTAAAACTGAATTAAGCGTAATGATTTCGATAAATCTTGGATGAAATTGGATGGATCTGTCGTAGAGTTGTCACTTGTTTAGATGCACATATCTATATATACATGCATTACTTGCCTTTGAAAAGCTTTTTTTTTGCAATTATGCCTAGTTGGTAGATAAGAGTGGTCTAGGAGACACAGTGCAGGCGTGGTTACCACGATGTCTCAGATTCAGTGGTTCAATCCCGCTTCAAGAAGAACAAAAAATTCCTAACGCAAATTTGCAGATTAAAAAATTGTTTGGCTAAATTTGAGACGAAATATAAATAAATTATGGAGTTAGTCCTGTATAACCACAAAAGGGGGCGAAAGATACCAAAGGGACATTCAAACTCATAAATCGAAAATAAACTGACAACGCCATGGCTAAAAAAAAAAAGAAGACAAACAGACAAACAATAGTACACAAAACACAACATAGAAAACTAAAAACTAAGCAACACGAACCCCACCAAAAACTGGGGTGGATCTCAGGTGCTCCGGAAGGGTAAGCAGATCCTGCTCCACATGTGGCACCCGTCGTGTTGCTCATGTTAGTACAAACTTGGTAAATTGTCTAATTCGGTAGGTCACATTCGTGAAAAGGGAACAGGTGTAGTTACAACATTTGGCACATATCCGCTATCATCAGTGAAACGATTATTCAATAACGGTCAACCAACTCGTGATGGCGTCCGTAAAATTTACGAAGGGATGCTTTAATCTTCACCATTTGGAACTCTATGTGTAATAGCTTCCTTGTGAGCAGCAACTCTCTATCAAGGAAATCATGATAGGAAATACAAGCCCTGGAATATCGTATCGTATGGGAAATATATACTCCGTATGCAGGCGCTGCTGGAATGTTGCTACATAGAAATGGAATGTTCACAATTTGGAAGCTGAAATTATCTCTTTTTTTGTAAAGTTTTGTTTTTAACCGACCCTCATTGTCAATTTCTAGATGTAAGTCAAGATATGAAGCAAACTTAACTGTATCTGTTGTATCCTTTATCTCTAGTTCGATGGGATAGATGCGTTCAACATAGTCACCAAATTTTGAATTATTTAGTAAGAGGATATCGTCTTTATAGCTGAAAGTAAAGTAAAGATACTGCTACCTTCTTTTCTTTCTTCCTAAGAAGTTCCTGTATGAAGTCGGCCTCATAAGTATAAAGGAACAAGTCGGCAAGAAGAGGGGCACAGTTGGTTACCATGGGAAAGCCGATAGTTTGTTGAAAAACACGTCCTCCAAACGTAACACATATGTTGTCAATCAAGAAATCAAGCATCTTGATAATGTCAGTTGCAGAGAATTTTTTGTTTGAATCAGAGTGATGTTTTACAAAGTAGGATTTATTCCTCCCTGAGACAAGATACTTGTATCTACGTTGGCCATTCTTTTTTTTATGAAACAAAGCAATATCAACTCTTTCAATTTGTCTTTAAGTTTGGAATGGGGAATACTTGTGTAAAGTGTAGAAAAGTCAATTTCTTTAATACTGTTGCCAGATGGAAAAGTCTCAGATTGTATGTACTCTAAAAGATCTTTGGAATTTTTTAGTATCCACATCTGATTCACGCCACCTTTAGAATAGGCAGTTTCACAGTAACTTTGAGGCCCGGCTTTGATTGCTCATAAAATTGATTTTAATAATTTAGAAAGAGGTTTCGTGGAGCACATGGAAGACCCAGCAATATACCGTTGTTTGTTAGGACACTTAGTAGTTAAGGTATCCAATACAGTGATGGAAGATCCAGTTCTTCATCTTTGGTTGAAATTCCAAAGGCACATAAAACAGACCTATGATTATCCAGGATTTCCTCTTTAGTAAGTGTCGTGGGGTTATATAGTGGATTTCCAAGTTAATTGTCAATACCTAATTCGTTTATCAAGCAGTTTATGTAATGTGTTTTATACACAAAATCGATGTTGTTAGGGGCTTTATCTGCGGGGACAACAAAATAGTTGTCATGGATGTAGGACAAGTGGTTTGCAACATTTGGATCTTTAAAAAGAAAGTCATCCGATGAAAAACGTATGTCGTGAAGTAGTCACATATTTAGACGTTTATAATAAAATTAAAAAAATGATTCGACGGCATGGTAAGATGCTGTTAATAATTTTTTGCAGCTTATCGTACATGTCCTTTAAATATAATGTTGCAGCTTGTTGTACATAGCGTTTAATAAATCAAAACAATAATTGTTTTGATTTATTTAATGCAATGTACAACAAGCTGCAAAAATTTCCTAACAACATCAGATTTTACGCGCACGCGCCTGATAAAGCTAATTTGTTTAGCGAAATATTGCGTGAATTATAAGATATAACAACTATTTTAAAACACTCATTAGCGTGTTAAGGTTACAATCGTAGACATATTTATATATAAACATATATAAGGTGCTTAGAAAATAAACCTTACAATGTTAGAGTAGATCTGATTTTTTACTTCCTTTCCAAACTGGGCTGGAACCTGTATTTTAGCCTCCTCTGACTGTACACGTAGCTCATCAAAATCAGTTTTTCGTTTCGGAAGATGTTACCTTTTTGTAAGTATTACGCAAGGACGTCTAATCACAATGCACGAAGTATTTTTAAGTGTACAGACATGTTAATTTACCCATCTCTTCAGTATAATAACAGGATGCTTTTCTATCTTTAGAGGTTTACGATCACTATTAATTTATAATTAGATATGTCTGCCTATGTTTAGTAACAACTGCAAATCACACATCAATCGGATTTCTAATGATTAAGAAATACCAAGCTTTAGAATATTTTCAGAGTGCCAATAAAATCAAATTAACAATATAAGAGTAGATCTGTTTCTTTACTTCTCTCTCCGAATGGGGCTGGCCTATACTTTTCACCTTTCACTTCTACGACAACACCGCCTAGTACTGCACAGACGCCTTATCCCCTCCTCTAAATATAGATATAATTCAGCTTTTGTTTTGCGAGGTGTTACTCTCTCGTAGGATACATAAATAGTGACTAGGAAAAATAAAGAAAATTCTAGATTTCAAGAAAGTTCTGTTTTGGGAGAGACCTTAAAAATTCTTATATGACGTAATAAATTAATGTAATAACGAAGCGTGGCAATATTTTTACTGTAATTAAAATAGGTGGTGCGTTACAATTACATTGTTACTCATTGAATAGTTACCGTCACACATAATTCATAAATTTGACACGAAAAGATACATGACAGTATATAATTGTATTTTTATATGTTATGGATTCCATAAACAAAACAACTTGCAAATCCATAGCTTATACATCATCTTGTCATCGAGTGCAGCTAGCAGATATCACTTCAATTGAATGTTGTATGCTTATCTTCGGATTGTGTTTCAGACAATACTGTGTGGTCGATATTTACCCGTTATCTTCATAGAATGATGTTGCCAACATATATCAACATAGCGTTTACTGTTTGTTACGGCAGCAGAAACCATACATGTATTGTACGTGTTCCTGAACTTCCATGAAATTTTATATGTTTGAATAAAGGTCTCTTGTATTCAACCATTTAACATTTAAAAAAAGAAGTTTGAAATAAAATAATCATGACATTGATACACAACGAAATAAAATTTTAGTGTGATTTTTCTTAGGAATGCACTCAAGGAAAACGAACCAAATGAGAAACGAAGATGTAATGACGACGTGATATTACACTCTGTTTACCTGTCTGCTGTACGATCGTAGTATATCTATGTGTTTTAGGTTCTTTCTTCATCAAAATACGTTAATATAAAATTTAAAGCAGTCTATTTTAGTATTTTTATCATCCGATGAAAGCTTTTGAAGCCAGGATTTTTATTGATATAGACGATGTGATCAGTTTGAAGGTGTTACAGGCATCATTCTGAGATGATTGATTTCCTGAAAATTTTTGTAACAGATAACTATGTATTTTGTGTTTTGTTTGCCATTTGTCATAGAAACAAGCCTTCCTTTCCTTATTGATGACACATATCATTCACCATAAGAGTTAGTCCTGTCATGAATATTACGACGGATGTAAGTTTTGACACAAAAATTCACACAGTTCCAACATAGTCTGGTGTTTTGTATGGTACCATATTAGTCAATATTTGGGGTCCGTGTATGTAGTTGATATTTGATAGTTTAATATTTTAATCATGGAACTGTGTTGCTTTCTATGTAGTCTGATGATAACAACTATTCTTCGGTATAAGTATCATAAAAAAATAATGTCAAATGGATATTAGCAACCACATGTCACAGTACGACCGTCAACAATAAACAAACACGCATACTGTTCACTAATATTCAGCTATAAAAGACCCATCTATGAAAAAATTGAAACAACTCTAACCAGAATAACAACGGCCTAATTTATACAATTATAAAAAAAAAACAATTAACAAAACAAAAACATGCAAACATGAACTAAGGACATCTCTTTCTAATAGGTCTCTGAGTAGTTACAGGCACAAACAGAATGAAGCGAGTAAGATATTTTACCGAACACTCAACCCTCCCTTAACCTGGAACAGTAACAATGTTGTAATAGCACATCATACGAACAAACGTAAAAGTATGTTTGAAGTGGCTAAACTCAAAAGAAAATCAAAACACTTGTATGTAAACAAAAGACACCGATAGTAGAGTACTCTCGGTTATTCGAATTAAGTTAAAAGCCCATCACAACTGAAAAACTCGTCAATAAGTAAATCGATATTAGATGTTAAATTGATTACCTTTAAGAATAAGTTTAATCGAATGATCAATGAGTTTAGATTTACCGTATCTTAATTTTCGCCCTCTATAAACAACATCATTGAAACATGAGGCTGTGATCGCCCGTTTTGATAATAATTCAACATGCATAATCAGACATCAGACTTCTAAATATTTGTATCTGTTACATAATCTTGTAATCATTTTTTGTGATTTTGCAACGAAATGCCTTTCTTAATAATATACTAATAAAACATGGATTACGTTCATTTAAATCGTCTACATGACTACAGAAATATGCATATATAATGAGTTGATCAAAAGGGAACAAGGGAACATTGTCGTCTAAAATGGAAAAGTAACAATCATGACAAGAGGAAACGATTTTTTTCGCAGCGTTTTTTAAAGAGTTTCCAATGTTAAACTGAAATATCAAAACCTAGAAAAGGACTATTATTGTAGTGTTCTTTACATCTATTAAAAGTGCGTTCTATTTGGGTACATTTCCGCATTTATCAGTATTGACCTATGTTAAAAAAACAAAATTTATCTCGTCCTGTATCGTTCAATTTCATTAGTATATATACATTCATCCACCCAATGTGACTGTAATATTATATACATGGGTGAAGTCAATAAATGTAACAGTTAAACATACCTTTAAAATCATTTCGATAAATCAAGTTTAAGGTGTTAATGAATACATCAAATTTGCCAAACTGATGAGACAATCGAGTAGATTGACGGCAATCAACTTAAATAGTATAAGTTGAAATTAAAAACTATAGTTACCTGACATAGACGAATACATAAAACATATAATGGCTAAAAGCACGATGTTGTAACAAAGCTTTTTAGGTGTGTCCATTTCTAATGTGAACATTTAAAAAACAAATTTCCGGTTATTTTAGTAGTAGTTTCTTCAGTTCATAACATTCTCTTAAATTAATGTCCAAAAAACGATCATACATTCGATGCAGTTCACAACATGCACAACACAAAATAATGAAATTTGATGACACTCGTTTTAAAATATGTGTACTATATACTTCCGTGTTGAAGGCTGTACTTAGACCTATAATTATTAACTTTTTATACATTGAGATTTGGATGGAGAGTTGTCTCATTGCCACTCATACCACATCTTCTTATTTATACTACAGTTCAGTGAATAATATTAAAAATAGCTATTTAAAAAGAAACTCATTGAACGTCATATGCACACATATGTTATATTATGAATGCATTAAACTATATTGAGGTATGACAAAAAACTCACTAGATAAAACACGATTAAGATCGTATGCAAGAGGCGCAAGTTCGAATTTTGGTATCTTCAATTATTTAAACAGTCATTTACCACTCAGTCCAAACAATTGAAAGAATATCATTAACGGAATTAATTTTAATGCACCAGATGCGTTTTTCGACAATGGATGTCCTTTCAATGATGTTTTACTCAAAAATCAATATTAAAAAATAAAAAACCTTCTACGTTTAAAGATTAGCTGTTGCAAGTATCAAGTTTTACACTGTGACATGTATAATAGTTGTGAAGTATATGCTTTCAAGGTTAATCCTAATATGTTTTAATGAGTTTAAATTGACAGGGTTGTACACACGTTGAATGGCTACTACAACCCTGGAGTCTAGACTCTTGACAACAATTATAATTCCCAATATGAAATAAAATAAACATAACTCTTCTTACATGAAACATTTATTGTCTCGCAAGCAACAGCAATCTTAAGTACACCTTTACAGAGAAGATGCGAAGTATTGTAATACCCTTCGAGTTCATGGTCAAAGTAAGTTCGCAGAAACAGATAACTCCATGGTATTTAGTATGTAGGTGGATCAAGTACCAATTAACATGATCCAAACCTCATGGTCGATAAATGTTTGGTTAAGATTAAAGTCTGTTCAAATGTTCGTCAAGTTTATATATCAAATACTTTGTTGCCTAAAATCATGTAATTTGTGTGAAATTAGCATCTTAAGAAGTCGGAAAGCATCCAACCATATAAATAGGTTGCTTTGTCTTTCCTTTCGTGTTTCGCTGGACCTGGTTAAGTTTTATGTCCAAGTTTATTTTGTCAAATTCTATGTAACCTAGTTTCATGTGACTTAATATGAAAGTGAATCTTGCAGAGTTCGACAATATCCAATCCTAAATTAAACACGTCAACCTACATTTCATATAATATATAGAAATAATATTAAAACATGAATTACAGCAAAAAATACATCACTGTACATAATAATATAATGAATACAGGTGGGAAAACATTAAAAAACCGTCGTTATTTTGATATTTAAGTGTCTAGTTCATAGTCACGAAGCGGTAAACAATGTCACAATGTTTAGGACTATAGCACACAGATAGAGGTCAAATGTGGGTAGTTGATCATTTATTGTTTCTGAATTAAGCACCTCTTTTAATGGAACAAATTCACTAAATGCAAACCTAATTTTTCCTTGACCAACTTTTATCCTAATGGTTGTAAAGGTGGCATTCATGATCTTCAAACACATTTTATCTTTTCTATACTCTGTCTTAAATCAATTTTTTTTTCAGCCCGAATATTTGGTGCGTGCACCAATAAGGTACTTGTATGTTTGTGATGTATGTTAAACCAGTTTGGGCTGCTAGATCCCAATCATTTTTACATTAACCTATTTTGTCTGTTTAGGTTCACTCGTTCCTTTGGATGATAAAGTTTAATTTTGTCAGTTTTTATGGACTTCCCTTTATTAAATTTACCTTGGAGTTTTTTGATTTACATTTTAACTTTATTATATAAATCCATTCATACTACCCTTGACCATGTTGACATGTTTGACAAAGACTTCATTAAGAAAATGTTGCCGTTTTGAATATAATTGTCTTTTTTCAAATCTAAAGCAACGTTTACAAATGAAAAGTGAACACATTTTCAGATTATTCGTATTGTAAATATAGTAACAAATTTAGCTAATTCATGATTTATCTTAATGATTGTCCCAATGCTGAATTGCAATCTTCTGAAATCCGAATTGTTTGCCTTTATATATATAGCATGTTTCCGCGGTAAAGTCATATGATTCTTGTTCTTTATTGTTTCTGAAAAGGAAAATTGTATAGATAAAGGCTACATCAAATCAATATGAAGTAGAAAAATCAAGGTAACAAACAAAACCTGAGGAAATCGAATGCTATGAATGTGTATTAAGTAGATAAAACCGAAACTGAAAGAAAATAAGAGATACCATATGTAGAAAATAGGAATTAGTTTGCTTTAAGGTTACATAACTACATGCATAACCGACAGATGATTAAATGGTGACGTGTATGCTGTTGTAGGAATACGTTTTCACAAAGTTTGAATATATTTAAAGGCGTGAGCAAACAATGGGTCAAGGAACTACCAAATTATCACTTCTAGTAAATTGTCTGACATTAATTGTGCGATTAAATTATCCTTTAAACGTTCAGAGAGTTGACTTAGAAAATCAATTGGAGATATTTAGCGCATAATAACCTTGGAAAGCTATTGATAGTATATTGTGTTCACAACCAGGATGTGAAAAATCATACATGTAGCTATCTTCTTCTTTTATTTGTAGGTGAGTTGATGTCTCATTGACGTACGCCAAAAAAATCACTTTTACGTATATCAGCAAACTAGCTGTGTCGTTAATTTCAGTCATGAAATCCTATCAAAAGTAATCAAAAAGTCCACATATTTCTGAAAAAAGTTCAATACCTCACAAAAAAATTAAATCTTAATGCTGATAAACAAACATGACAAACAGATATCACCAATTAGCAAATATAAACCTACATAACAAGTATGTGATAAACTAAGGCGAAAGTGAATTTAGTTTACTGTTTTCTCGTAAATCGATTAGGTAGAGACAAATCAAGGCAACAAATAAAATCTGAGTAAATCACTCCAACCCAAAAAAGGAGCGAAATCGAGTGTTTTAACAGAGTGAGGGTCTCCTTGTATACATGCATAACCTCAAAGTTTTCAAAAGGGAGCCATGAGCTATTGCAGATACTCGATAATCTATCAGATATAAATGTTAAAGATAAACACTCACGTCATTTGTTCTGTATTATTCATCGAACGTCCTTTGAGATACACAAAAGCAATTATAACAATCAAACAACCAAAACATGCAGATACTGCTAATATTATAGGTCCACTGTATTGCTTTATGTTTTCTGTATCTGAGAGAGAGAGAAAAAGAATAAAATAACAATTCGTTTGCTTTAAGTGATTGATCATTAGCGTTTTGTCTTACACATTTGAATCTTCAGTAACACTACCAAATGAGAGACGAAAGTGATATTCAAACTCGTGTGTCTAGAACAAACTGGCAATGACATTGCAAACAACGAAACGACCAAAAGGCAGATACAAGTATACAAAACACAATATCGAAAATAAAAGACTGAGAAACCTGAATCCCATCAAAACCCTGGGATGATCTGAAGTGCTCCAGAAATATAAGCAAGTCCTGTTTCACATGTGGCACCCGTCGTATTGGATGAGAACCAGATGGAGTTTTGGTTATGAAAATTGTAACATATTTGTCGTCATCTGTAAATCTGTGAAACAGATAACGTTCAAAACACTCGTGCAGGCGTCCGTAAAATTTGCAAAGGGATGATTTCAACTTCACTACTTTGAATTTTGATTTAACAGCTTCCTTATAAGCAGCATCCCTTTATCAAGGAAATCATGAAAGGAAAATCAAGCTCTGTAATATCGCTTCAACTTGGGGATAAGCACTCCAAATGATGGACCTGTTGAATGTTGCTGGATAAAAACAGAAAGTTCACAATTGTGAAACTGGAATCACCTCTTTTGTCGTTAATTTTTGTTATAGACCAAACTCATTGTTAATTTAAAGATGCAAGTCAAGCTATAAAACAGACAAATTTGTATGTGTTGTATCTTTCATATCAAGTTTGATTGGATAGATGTGCTCGACATAATTACATATAAAAATAAGGAGATATGGTATGATTGCCAATGAGACAACTATCCACTAAAGTTCAAATGAAGTGGATGCAAGCAAATATAGCCAATATGGCCTTCACCAATGAGGAAATCCCATACCGTATGGTCAGCTATAAGAAGCCCTGACATAAAAAATATGAAAAAATTTGATTGAGGAAACTAACGGCCTAATTTATAACAAAACAGTTTACGAAAAACAAATATGACAAACATGAACCAACGACAACCACTGAACTACAGGCTCTTGACTTAGGACAGGCACATAAAGAATGTGGCGAGGTAAAACATGTTTGTGAGCCCTCAACCATCACCCTAACCTGGGACAGTGGTGTAACAGTACAACAAAGGAACAAACTATAAAAATCAGTTGAAAAATGCTTAACTCATCAGATGGATACAAATAGAAATACATCTAACAAAACCACAAAGTAGACGTGAACGGGTATTTATACATTCCAAAAACAAAAAAGACATTGAGTACAGCTCTGAGAGTACTCGCAGTTACTGACAGCTAGTTCAAAGCCAATAAAAACTACTGTGGATTCATTTATTTTCGTGGATTCAGAAAAACTTGCATTTTCGTGGATATTTGATTTCGTGGTTTTGCTAAAGTCTGCATACATTCTAATAGAAAATTTGTAATTGGTTGTACATTAGATTCGTGGTTCCCGGGTAACCACGAAATCCACGAAAATTGGTATTCAACGAATAATAATGAATCCACAGTTATAAAAAAAATCATGTATCTAAGGCTAAAATATCAATCAGTACACATCCAACATCCAACGGAATTAGTGTAAAGACATGACAGTATATCTCCTATAGAGCGGAAGTTAAAAGAGAATGCTAACTTCGTTCATTCTTCTGAGGAAGCTCCAGTATGAAGTCAGTCTCATATAAATAAAGAAACAAGTCAACAAGAAGAGGAGCACGGTTAGTTTCCTTTGAAATGCCAATTGTTTGCTGAAAAATGATTTCTTCCAAACGTTACAAATATGATGTCACTCAAGACATCAATCATCTTGATAATGATGTGTTAGGTTGAATCAGTGATTTTGTACGATTAATCCTTCCCTAAAATAAGATAATGGTATTCACGTTGGCCATTCTTTTGGCAAAAAAAAAAACAAGACCAATTATTTCATGTTTTCTATTAGTTTGTCCTCTATCAAACTATTTTTAGTCTTAAACTGTCGTGTAAACTGAACATTGTCTGAAAAGTCTGAATCTTAAAAAGTTAAGTCTTGTTAAGATTTGTAAGTTATTTTTCAGATATGTGTTTGTTGTAAATTTAATACTGTTAATACATTTGGCTTGAAGTAAATACAGAATTGTTCCAGTCGTTATGTTCTAATTCGTTGTTTAGCACTAGTAAATAACAATGACTGGCCAGTCTGAACAAAGACTGAACCAAGACGAATTGTCTGAACTGTTCCATTTTTTCATAACAGATAAGTCTGCAAGTGGACTTAAAGACTAAACATAATTTACTGTTTTATTTACAAACGTTAAAAGCTGTCCTGATCAAAATTTCATTTCAAAATATGTTTAAACGTTTCGTTAAATGAAATTGATTAAACGTCAATATAAGATTATACATTGCAATCAACCGTATGTACAAAAGTTAATGAAAAAAGTCCTGGTGTCTTGGACTTTAAAAAAGTTCTTCCATGCTGACATGACATTTATATTTTCAGCTGAATTTCATTGAACAGGTTTATCATTTTAAGATGACACATTATTAGGATAGAATGGCCAGGTCTTTATCAAATTTGAAATATAAACAAGAAAAGTGGTATCTTATTTTCACGAGTTCGTTATTTTTTAAAGTTTTTTTTATAGTTGCAACATGTATGTTTGAAGATTGGAAAGATCAACTGTATATGAAACATATTTTGCAAATCAAAGTTCAATTATCTTTTAAATCTTATTTTATTTTGACACAATGTTGTATTGTAGCCGGATGAACAATGCATCAATTTACATAATAATTTATAATTTCCAGATATTATTTTAATATATAAGGGAGATATTTAGAAATTTACCTGTCGAATGAATTTCCAATGTTGTTAAGTCTTTCACATCTGTAGTTGTAACTTTCAACTCCGTAGTGGTTTCCGTATCTTTAGAAGTGGATGGAATTGTTGTTTGTAGTGTTGTTTCCAAATCAGTAGCAGTAGAAAGGACGGCTGTTGTTTGTGTTGTCTCCTTTGATGTTATTTCTATCGCGGTGTCCATTTCAGTAGACGTAGATGGCAGTATTGTTTCGTGTGTTGTTGTCGTTGATACCATTTCTGTCGTAGTTTCGATTTTAGTAGAAGAAGGTGGAAGCGTAGTTTTCTGTGTTGATGTCATTTCTGTCGAAGTTTCAATGTCAGCAGAAGTGAATGGACGCTCGGTTGTCTGTGTCGATGTCATTTCTATCGTAGTGTCCATTTCAGTAGAAGTGGATGGTACCGTTGTTTTCTGTGTTGTCTGTAATGAAATTACGTCTGTCGTGGTATCCATTTCAGTAGAAAGGGATTGTAACGTGGTCCTCTGTGTTGACTCAGTTGTGGCTTCGGAAATGTAGAAAAATAAATATTCGCTGTACAAGTTCTTATATAAACCGGATAAATGATATGCTCATTGTTGAAGGTTATATATGCTTCAATGATGTGCTTGTTTTTCCTGATTTTTTTTTTAGATTTGCTTTCAGTACAACCAACTTACAACTGTCTTTTTCAGTTGATATGAACAACCTTCAGGTAATGGGTGAAATTTTGTAATTCGGTTATGTGTTCAAGAAGTTCACAATAACCGAATTCTCTTGGAGAATTATTTTTTAACAAATTAACCACAACCGTGGTTCGTGAAATACATCCCTTTTTTTATGAATTTTGTTTCATAATTTTCTAATTCGATCTTTCCTATATCTGATATGTGATGCAGAAACTGGTTCAATTTTTAAAGAATGCACCAAATTTAATTTGTTAATTTAAAACACTTTGCTACTGGAAAGCATTTATATGATATTATTATCGAAAGCGTATCTAGTAAAAACAACTGTTTTTAAGTCAAGCTCCTTTAAATATATTTGATAGTATAAGATTATAGTACAAAATACTGATTATAACCATTCAATTTTACAAGTAGTAATATATTTTGTGGCACAAGGTTATATATTACACAAAATTATAATGATGTAAGTATAGTTACTTTTCTCTGAAAGTCCTGTTCCAATGAATGAAGCTCTAACATCTTCATAATAACTATCACGAAGTAGAAGTTAATTTCCGAGTATACTGACTGAATTCTATTTCCAAAAATTATATTACATAATACTTGTACATTATATTGTTTCATGGCTTGAGACAAACAATTTAAAACGGTAACTTTCAGGACGCTTGAGGTAAAATTAAAGCTTTTCAATGAATAAAGGGATTTCCAAATACAATGTACAACATACCAACGCCACATGAACCATCACAGGGTTCACACAAGAAAGCATCATTTGGCAAAGCGTCATTGGTGCCTGACGTAAAAGAAAAAAAAGCACAAAACAATTATAACTGGAGCTAAGGTAAATAAAGGAGTGTGAAGTTTACAAAGTCTTGAATGACAGGTAGAAGTCTTTGCATAAACAATCGAATTTACTACAAAAGAGGGACGAAAAAATCGAATTTACTACAAAATGACATAACGGGTTATTCTTTAACAGTTTTGGTTCTTATACATACTGGGCATTCAAATATTTGGATTTAAGCGTTCAAGATGAAAGTAAATCCAGAAAAGCTCATCGGATGCATGAAATTTATAGCGTGTTGTTTTCATTTTTTACTAGTATGTAAAACTGACAGCCACCATTGTTTTTCGTTTATTGCATTTGTGATAAATAAGGACGTTGGTCTTTTCTTTTTAATTGCTATTTGTTTTGTGATGCCAAGCTCTTTAAAGGCTAACTAAACTTTATAGATTTTTCTCATTGTTGAAGGCTGTTCTGTCATCTATAGTCATTTAAACTTTTCACCTTTGGTCAATGTCTGATAAATATCTCATTTCTTTGTTTATTCACTATTCTTACATATGGTTTCTTAATATTGCGGATATTCTTTCAGTTTCTAACATTCTTTGTAACAGAACAAAAGTTACCTACCGAACGTGAACTACCGAATTAGACTGATCACAGGCTTTGTTCTAACATAAGCAACACGACATGTGTCACATAAGAAGCAGGATCTGCTTACCCTTCCGGACCACCTGAGATCACCCCTAGTTTTTGGTGGGGTTCGTGTTGCTCAGTCTTTTGTTTTCTATGTTGTGTTTTGTGTACTGTTGTTTGACTGTTTAACTTATGAGTTACAATGTCCCTTTAGTATTCTTCGCCTCTCTTTTAAAGGAGTAATATATATATATATATATATTACTGAAGTTCTTGAGTGAAGTTTGATGAATTGTTTTGTATCGATAAATACGAATACAGCATTCAAGGCGACTAGCTAAAAGTCCATTTCTTTACAAGTACAAGAATCAACAGCTATTTAATCTGGAGTAGTCTTTCTGCATAATCGCATAATCAAACAAAAATAATTAAAAAAAGGACAATACTAAAGACCACAATAACCAACAACAACCGATCACTTGTAAGCCAATTTTAATCTTCAACGGTAGTTTTGATCTTGACAGCTCTTAAAAGTCTGAACAATAAAATTGTCAGTCATGTGTAGTCTTTCAGTTACTTTTCATACTTATCACCAGCGGTAAATTCAATACAGTTTAGAAAAATCACTTGCAGTCAATTAAGATCTTCTAAATCTTTATTGAGACAGTCCTGTAGTTAACCTTTTCACACCAACAATATACTGAATTGTATGAAAAGCTACTTACCAGTACCAAATTAACTGCAAGCGATTGCCTGAACAGTACTGAATTAACCGCACTGGAGAAGTCTGAAAATTTACTTAAAGAACAAACATGACTGAAAAATGAATTGTTAATATTTTTAAGATGATGATGAGGTCTACAATGACCGTTTAAGATTAAAATCTATATACTAGTCGTTTAATAAAAGCTACAGTAGTATACATCTGTTCAATAGTCATAAATCGATTAAGCGAAAACAAATCCGAGTTACAAACTAAAACCTTCAAGAAAATAAACGAACAAAGAAAAAAACCCAACTGCTAAACAAGATAAAATGACCTGACTTTGCATTCACATGTATAAGCAATATGCGGGGTTGAGCCAATTTCTGACTATCACATTTCATTGTTAATTGTACAGTAAATTAGGGGTCAAACCCGGATTCTTTATCTGTAAAATATTTCACATCGTAATAAATGTCTTTAGTTAATGTCAAGTTGATGTGAACACAACTTCATGGTAAACTATCTTAACCATACGAGATGGACTAACGGACGTCCGCATATTCCTGGAACACAACACCTTTGCTATTATAGGCGGGTACAATGACTTGACCAATCAAGTAATATTAGGATATGTATTACCTTGTCTTCTTAATGTGCGAATGTTCGGTGAGTCAGTATATTGACAGAATGTACTACACACTGGATCATTATCATTTGGTGGGTTTCCATCTGCTGACGCGAACACTCTCTCGTGCGGATTTACGTCGTCGAAAATATCTTTTAAAGACAAAATTATAAAATATAATATACACATATACAAGTGTACATTTTCAATTTCGAAACATTCTAAAAAGTGTAATATGTAAGTTTTTGTCATATATTATAATGTATCTTCGTTTAATATTTTTTTCTGAATAAAATAAATTGTGTTTTTGATACACAATGCTATGACTAAATGATTATTACAGACTAATTTAATTCAAATGCAAAACCAAGAAATTGCGATCATTTGATGGTGTTTGTGTTGCCTAATCTTGAATTGTATGTGAATTTTATTGTTATTAATATTTTTCTTTTCGTTGTGTTTCTTTATAGCTATGTTGTTGTGCGTTTGATTTATGATTATTGAATGCACACTTGGTATCTGTTTCTCCTTTTTAAAGTTCAGTGTTGGTATTTTCCGCCATGCAATCAAAATTAGTAAACTCTATGTATTCTATCTTTCTTTGAATACATTTAACAAATTGTGTATACAAAGTGGAAAAAATGTCTCACCATTAAATGTTTAACTGTTTTCGTTTTCGTTCCATAGGGTGATTTTCTAATTGATAGACTATTGTTTGCCGAATGTCCAGTGTCAAATGATAAATGCGTATTTAGGATTAATGTTTAATAATGTATGCGCAAATATGTTTTCAATATAATCTAAAAGAATTTAAATATCATTTTCATGTTAATTCAATTCATATGAATATAACATTTTACCTATCATGAGTCTGTCGACAATTGTTATACTATATCAAATAATTGGCTGACATATTGAAATAGCCGGGTCGCGTATTTAGATAACAAAAACACAAATAAGAAAATTCTAAACATGGAAAACAGTTTTACAATAAAATAAAATAAAAACAATAACAACATAAATAATAATGTTTGTTTCCGCTTTTTGTATTCTTATAGCCAAAAAGACATTTCAAACATCGGTTCTTATCACATATACATGTAAATTATGTAGGCAATCTTTATAAAATAAATAACCTTAACGACGGCTATCAAAATTGGTGCAATACATGTCTTCAAACATTTGATGTATCAGCAGTGATGCTCAATGTCAACATATTTGAAAATCCAAAACCTAATTCAAAGTTGAAAAGGTGAAAAAACCAGACAGGGCATAAATTTTAGACAAATACGGCCAAGCAATCAGAGCTTTGCATACACAATTCAACTTAATTTAATGATTCCAAAATTTTATAACATCAATTTTCAATCAAGCAATATACGTATGTTCATGCTTGTACTGAAGCTCTAGCTACTGGACTTGTTATACCTTTGGGGACTAATAGTCCACCAGAAGAGGTATAAAGTTAACGCACACAATTTATGCACAAATAATTTATTGCACTTGAACTTGTGTAAAAGTTATTTGTCCACATGTTCAATTCATTATTGCTGTCGATACGCATTGTGTGCATATATATGTGTGTACCCGTGTGCCAATACATAGTTGTAGTCAGGACTTGTGTGCCCCATAACATAGCATTTAAACTCTGACCATTTTAAATCTTAATGTCTCTTGTATGCCGAAATTGTTTCACTATTATTTATCAAACTGCTTACCTGACAAAAGGTAAAAGTAATATAAATCGGCGGTTACTTTTGTTAATTTCATACAAAGATATAGCCAACGGGATCCCGAAAAAGGTCCATTTGTAAAGCTGTTGTCACTTCTGAAACACACCATACAAAAAGAATACTTGTAGTAATTGCATTCAAGATGAGTTATATGAAATGAGTTTTTGGTGATTATAATATTAAGGAGATTATTCAACCAGTGCATGCGTATGTACAAAACTAATTCCTTTGTACTTGTGGTTTTACCTATATCATTTCGAATTCCATTACGTATAATCGACACAACACTTAAATTCGGTGATTAAAACTTTTTCTACTTTATGACTTTCATGTTTTTAGACCGATGTTCAACCTTCTTAATAATCAATTCAGAATCAAATATATTGAGCAAATATGATTATATTAAATAGTAACATGATAAACTAATGCAGATTGAACACTGTTCACCACAGTTTGAATGACGTGAATATAAGAACTCTATCACAGCCTTGATTGTTTTTTTTTTATTTTTTCATTCGTCCCCATTCGTTAATTAAACTTGTTCCTTACAGTTGTTAAATAATTAGGTCTTTCCACTTTTCCGTGGAAAGACCTATTGGTTTTGTTCTGATTATTATTTTTTTTCTTCCGCCTTATTTTTTTACTTCGCTGTTTTTTGTTTCGCAAGATGTCGCTTAGACATATGGTATATTATATCGAACAGTTAATACGCTTTTGAAACTGACACCCCGTAACCGAATACTTTCCCTTGTAAGAGTTATCTCCCTGAACACTATTTTTCTTGTTATTACTTATACGTCGCAACCGCATAAGAAACCTACTAATTCATTTTACCAAATTGCTCGTTATATCCTCAGGATGATTTGATTAATTTTGACCGAAGCTATCCGGAGACTCCATATGAGAGTTATTTCTCCTTATATATTTGATATAAGTGATGTGCATTTGTAACTGAAAAACCATAACTTATAGAGACCTGATGTCTTTTGATTTGAGGTCCTCGGTCCAAAAAAAAAGAAAATAACAGAATTGTTAGTCGTAACACGTAAATTTTAGTTGAAAGGGTACGTAGACATTTAATGAGAGTTTTCGCCCCTTTTATGTCTAATATTAGCTGTATAGTAATATAACTCATTAACAATATATAGTAGAGACCTAGAGTGTTTTGATTTGAGGCCCTTGTTTCATGACCTTGACATTGGGTCAAGGTCAAAGTTTGATTTGACGTTCTAGATTTGGACCTTTGCTTTAACTTTTAATCCATGCCTGATAAAGCTATGGTACTTTGTGCATTAAGTTGCAAGCCATATGACCTTGAAAAAATCAACCGGAAATGACCTTTTATAAACCGGAAGTAGCTATTTCTTGTCCATATTTAAAATAAAAGTACATAGAACCATATATTTTTGGAATCAGTGTCAAGTAAACTATCATATGATACCGGAAGTGACCTTTTTCAAACCGGAAGTAAATTATCTCCCTTATTTAAAAAAAAATGTATAGAAACCATATATTTTTAAATTCAGCGTATAATGAGCTATTATTTGGCGCTGAAAATTACATTTCTAACCGAGTTTTCATATTTTTCACATCAAAATACATCGTTTCGGGTGGAAAGACCTTCAATTGTTATCTGAACAATTGGTTTTTAATTTATTTTGTTTTTGTTTGAGAATCGGTTTGTATTATCGTCTTTCTATGTTTCTTTCCTCTTTTTCCATGACGATGTTTTTCAATAATGTATTGCGTCTATGTTGACTTTCAGTCACCGATGGTATCATCAGCTCAGTAGTCCGTGGTTCAGTACTGACATGATTTGTACCAAACTTTTCTTAAATTGTCCATTTAACATTTATAAACTATTTAGAAACGAAGGTTTCAACTTAGTCAAAATTGGATTCTAGGTGGATTCGGTTATCATTTTTAGGCCTTCTTTGGTCATAAAGCTCTTCAAATATTACGTTTCTTATATATCCTTTGCTCTCATATATTCGGCTTTAGGCGATCATGATGAAGATAAATCCAGAAAAAGTGCTTCAGATGCATGAAATTCTGTTTTCATTTTTTGTTATCACAGGATACTTACCGAAAAAAATTAGAACAACAATCAGGAATTTAAAGCTATCGCCGAATTAGTGTATTAGAAGACAATAATTCAAAACAATACAAGTTCCGAATATTTGAATAAGTCAAAGATTAATTTTCAAAAGCAAGTCCACGTGCATGGAAAAACAAGACATTGTGTTATGAAAAAAATATGCATATTTTGCATTGTTTCTTTATTCTCTCTTTTCTGTTACCATTACATGTTACTCACAGAAAGAGGGTTTGGTATTTTAAAATAATAAAAAGAACCCTACCACCTTGTCATCAAGAATCGCTTCAGTTGATATTGCGTTCTCTGCATGATTTCGTGCGTTTTCAATTCATGTTTACTTAAAGTAATCAATTACAAGAAATATTGTTATTGAGAATAAATGTTTCCTTCATGAAATATGAAATAATATACAGCGCTCTGTATCTTTATTTTACAGCTGTATTTAAACTAGTTTATATTTGTGTATTCTGCCTTTTAACGACACTGCCATCGGAGTCGTCTAATCTGGTAATAACGAATGTTGTGGTTTCTGAATAATGTAGATGTCAATACTACAGTCAAACATGCCTCGTTTGTTAAACAGTTTACAATTCTATACTATTCTGAATTACCAAGGTCAAACATGATCGCTAGCTTTTATTTTCGTTCTTTTTGTTCATTGAATCGCATTTGCTTTGAAGGTCGAGGTTATGCGACTTTGGGACTTTATCCTTATTGGAAAAGTAAAATATGAAATAAAAAATGCACAACTGCATGTCCTAGTCGAACATTTGTGTAAATTTGATTGAGTTATATGAGTCCATTTTCAAAACGTTGGGGTTAATAGTGTGACATTAACTTTGACACGGATGACGAATACGCAAATGTCATAATTGCTCTTTTTTAACGCAAGTGACGATTCAATCTCGTTGGTTGGACGGCGACGTATTCACCCTGTTTTTCTGTCAATAAAAACATGTATTGGCAGCTATTTGTCATGACGTTTATCAAAGATACCGTATCATTTACTGATTCATGTACAATAATTTCAATTCTGAAAATCAATACTAAGATTTTACTTACTTGAAAACCACAACTGCCTCTGTTTCGGAGATGTTTAAACTATTGATGCAAGTCCAATCGTCTATTATTGACCCAAAAGCGTTCAAATTGATGACGGAATTTTGTAGCGTTGTAGTTTCGATGTTGAGAGTTGTTGATTGCTCTGAATTGTCCGATACTTTTGTGTAATTATATTCCCAAACTGCATTCTTCAAGTCTTGAGGCAATGAACACGTGGCACCTGAAAATAAATTTCGGATGAAGTGTAAGGAATTTGATCATGTTGAAACAAACGTAAACCATGAGATGACTAAGAAAGACCAAACATGGATGTAAACAATATTAATTATAATGAAATCAGTTACTTTTGGCATACTTCATATTATGGAATTATAGAATTAACTCTGTGTGGTATAATTAAGCCCATATAAACACATTCGGGGGAAGCCCTTTCTTTTGTCTTCAAGTGTGACATATATAAATTTTATCTATTCACCCCTCAATCTACGTCAAGATAAAGTTGTATGATGACCATAAAATTTGATCTTTTGCTTTGACAAATTGCAGTCTCATCAATATTGACCTTTGCTCCTTCTATTTATATTGAATAAATGTTCAAAACCTGAATTTATTTTTCAACATGTCTGAGTGAATTTAAATATAGTTCAACGAAGCGACATCTCAACGACAAAAATATACATGGTTGAACAGTCCCGTATAAATTTATGCTTGAATAAATAAATAGAAAAAATTAAAGATCTGCCATCAACACCAAATTCTCTTAACAAAATCGAACTGAGTTGGGAAAAGGCGCATTCATATAAGGCGGGGTAAAACTATTTTTCGATTTTTCAGTCTTCCCCTTTTTAATCTCTATCAGTGGACTAAAAAATAACTCAAAAAGCATCGACGAACTAGAGAGTAAAACGCCGAAAGTCTTTCCTCTCATGATCAAATATGCATTGAATAAATAAAGGCAACAGAAGTATACCGCTGTTCGAAACTCATAAATCGATAGAGATAAAAACAAATCCGGGTTACAAACTAAAACTGAGGGAAATGCATCAAATATAAGAGGAGAACAATGAAACAACAAAAACACAACTTTAAAATGTAACACACACAGAAACGAACAATAATATAACAATGGCCATTTTCCTGACTTGGTAAAGGACATTTTAAGAAAAAAATGGTGGGTTGACCTGGTTTGTGAAAGTATTTTAGATAAAGGTTTTACTATAACATGTCATGACAGTCGAAAAGAAATTTGCTTCTCATTTCGAAAAAAAAACTTTTATGAAGGACATCATGGAGGAAAACCAAGCTCTGGAATATATTATCAATTAGGAGATAAAGTTAGTTCATATGCAGATTTTATTTTGTTTTAGCAAAATGCTTAAGCGCTATAGAAGAGGGACGAAAGATACCAGAGGGACAGTCAAACTCAGAGATCGAAAACAAACTGACAACGCCATGGCCAAAAATAAAAAGACAAACAGACAAATAATAGTACAGATGACACAACAAAGAAAACTAAAGACTTTGCAACACGAACCCCACCAAAAACTGGGGGTGATCTCAGGTGCTCCGGAAGGGTAAGCAGATCCTGGTGCCACATGTGGCACCTGTCGTGTTGCTTATGTTATTAGACAATGTAATTCTAATATTTCCGTACTAGAATGCAAACACGGTAATCTTTGGAAAGACAATAACACAGTTTGAGGAGCACTTTGAGGGACAAATTATTGACGGTCCCTTTCACTTCATAGGGATTGCTGTATACATGAGTTTACCTGCTATTTAATTATCTTCTGTATTGAGATGCATATTTGTTGTTGTTATGTACTGTTTGGTATACAATGAGAACAAAATGATCAAGATAATAAACGAAAAAATAAGATAATAATAATAAGTGTTGTAAAACATGTTCATGGGTAGAATTTCCCAACATATTCTTTGATATAG